GGGGGTGGTGTGTGTGGGGGGTGGGGTGGTTTTAGTTTAGACTTTTTCCTCCCCAGAGAGGGGTGGGGGTACTTGAAATTTTCGGGGGCGGGGGTAGAATTTTCGGGGAAGGGGCGGACACTGGAAAAAGTATATAATTATATTTCGTTGAATGGGACGGTAGGCATGTTTTTTTTTGGGGGGGGGGGTGGAGGGGTGGGGGGGGGTGGTGTGTGTGGGGGGGGGGGCGGTGTGTGGAGGGGGCGGTGTGTGTGGGGGGTGGGGGGTGGGGGTGGGGGGGTGGTGTGTGGGGGTGGGGTGGGGGTGGGGTGGGGGTGGTGTGTGTGGGGGGGGGTGGGTTGGTTTTAGTTTAGAGAAAAGAGACAGCACTATCAAGCTAGCGCCCGGTGTATCCTTCCTCAACGGGCCATTTTTCTCGTGACTATTTTATAATTTTCATTTAAGCCGGTTCTAACCTGCCTAGTGTTTGGTGCCCGCTACCTTCTGGCATGTACAATTGAATAGTGCCGTCATGAGGGTTGGTGCTGCGTGGTGGAGTGGTAGAACACTCGATGGCTAACGAATGGTATCAAGCTGGAGGCCGTCCTTGAGTTCACCCAGCTCTGTCTATCGTAGGACTAACCACACACACACACACACATATATATATATATATATATATATATATATATATATATATATATATATATATATATATATATATATATATATATATATATATATATATATATATATATATATGCGGACATGTAATGTGGCAATTTGAAGTACGACTAAATGTTTATGTTGGAAAGTGAAGACGGGATGAGGGGGGGGGGGGGGTATCTTGCTGGAGTAATTAGAAAAATCAAGTGGTCCTTTAATGTTTGCAGCGGTATATATCAGATGGTCGCCCACATATATCGCTTAAATTGTTGGGGTCACCTTCTGACTCAAAGGCACTTGCCACCCTGGGGTCACAAGGGTCCCAGCCACTGCCACTGTGGGGTCACAAGGGTCCCAGCCACTGCCACTGTGGGGTCACAGGGGTCCCAGTCGCTGTCAAACTGGTGTCACTGCCACTAACCCTAAAAATAACACCTGTTGTCGACACGATTTGTTCAAGCACAGATTCTCAGTGTTGCGACAGTACCGTGTTTGGTGCACATTTTCCTGTAAACAACCTTGGTGTCCTTCCTAGGCTCCCGTCTTTAGACCAGCCACATTGAAACTGAAATTCCTTTACACAGAAAGGTCCCGGTTCGGGTAACACAATCGTATGGATCGTATCACACTAAAACACGCCAACACAACATGGATGACCGAACGAGGATCTTTAATAATTCTACATCCCCCCACCCCCCGCGGGTAGCCTATTGTACCCGGCCTGTGACCGGCTCTACTAATTGACTGAGAGACTGGTGGTATGACAACACTGATGTTTTCTCTATCCAACAACATGGGACATAACTGGCTGTTAGAAGTACACTACAGCTGGGGGTCTGCACAATAATAATGCCTACAATAAAATGCTTGTAAGGAGTGCCCTTCCCTTGATTCACCTAGTACATAGAGTGCCCTCCCTTTGTTTAGTTTGCCGCTAGATCGATTGTCGTCCCTCTATTGACGCCATTACATGTGAACTCAAGCCGTTTACCCAACCTTGTGTTCCCCTGTTGTAATTTTTTTTAAATTATTGCCGATCAAAAGTAAATAAACAAATAACACCAAATATAGTTACAGTGATTTTACCCGGGATCTTACTGTGTAGAAGTTCACCGTATGTTTTCTTCGTGCAATGTTGGGAAGATTAGAGGCTAATAATGGGAGGAAAAAGTAAAGGCTAATAAAGGTGGTAAAGAAAGCAATCAAACAGAGTTTCTTCCAGGCATCTCAGGGTGGGTGAGGGGGGTGCTCAGCAAGTCTACCGCTCCCCCCACCCTCCCGAACTAAATGGAATTTATATAGAATATGTATACTTTTATCAGTGTTTGCCCCCCACCCCCCTCGGAGAAAAAAATCTGGAAGAAACACTTCAATAAAAGTGGTGGTAAATTATAATCCAGTGAATGAGGGGGAGGGGGGGGGGGGTTAGAGGCCAATAAAGGTGAGAAAATTGGGATCTAATAAAGGTAGGAAAGAAGTGAATTCAAAGCAAGTTTCACGTGGGTCAAAGTTCAACATTAATTAGACGGGTATTGTCGCCTGTAAATTAACCCCCAACACGTGCAGATCGTCATCTTCTGCTCTCTGCGTCTGCCCACGTGACAAACACGGCGTCACGATGAAAAGATTCCCGCCACAGGAAGAAATTCAATCCTGATGAGAAGAGAGTTCTATTTACCGAGCGATGAGAAAACAGACCACACACAGACAAGATTTAAAGGAAAAGTTTCTTTGTTTTCAGTGACGCAGATTTTTTTAAAGTCGTATTTTATTAATTAACTTTATAAGTATAGTATATTTTTATTTAAATAATGAGCAACCAGCTGCATGTTTTGATTAAAAAAAAACAGGCATAATTTATTGACATAATTAAATATTATTTGTTCTAACATAAAATGGACTAGAAAGAAAATAAATGAAACTTTAAGTCTAGTTGCCACCACGATATTGTAAAACATTTCATTGATGCCTGTAAGACGGTGACACAAGCAATACATTCTGATGGGGCTGTGCTTTTATACGAGCGAAGGCTGAATGTTGCCTCTACCTGGCTCGATGGTAAACTCATGGGTTTTTGATGGGTGAATTCGTGGTCGTTTGGCAGACTCAATATTAAGCCCCCCCCCCCCCCCACCCCCGCTGATCGTATGTCCGCCATCTTTAATTCTTGTAATTAACCAAAATCATTGATGGCACACGTTAAATTATCCCAACGTCACACCCGCTTTTCTTCTGTTAACAAAGAACTTTAAGATAGTTTTTGATGGGGGGAGGCGGGATAGAAACTGACTCAGAACATATCAGGTGTAGGCCACTTACAGTCGTTATTTCAGGTAGAGCCTGGGTTTGAGTACAGGTAATTTAAACATTGAAAACTTGGATTTGTGTTTGAAGAAGAGATGACGTATTTGTTTCTCACGTGTAACTTTCTAAGACAGCCAGTCTGGCAATGGGATGGAGTAAGTGTGCCAGATTTTTACAACACGTATTGTCACAATTCTGTCATGGCCTATCAGGGGGGTGACACCAAGGCAAAAAATAGCAAAATATATAGAGAAAAACTTGAGGGGGGGGGGGGTGCAAATCGAAAGTTCGAGGGGGGGTGCAAATCGAAAATTTGAAAGTTTGTCCCCGGGAAGGGTCGCTACGCCTCTGGGAGGTGACACCGTTAAGTGCTGCACCGGGTTACACCCGACCTCGCTACGCCACTGTGGTCTATGCCCATCACTTATCACCAAACCATTTACAAAATTAAACCCTTAACACAGGATCGCATGTTTATGTCCTTTTTTACTTTCTCGTATATACGTAGTATAGAGAAAGTATTGTAATCGTGCAAAAAAAAAAAAATCGAGATTTTTACAAATCTCGACGTTTTACACCTCACTGATACGGAAAAACATAATTTTGCAATCTTGTCCGTATGTCTGTGTGTGTGTGTGTCTGTCCGTGTGTGTGTCTGTCCGTGTGTAAACACGATAACTTGAGTACCGTTACAGCTAGGTTGATGAAATTTCATATATAAGTATTTTATCAAAATCGTAGATCCGTATCAACTTTTGAGCGATTTCCGATAACCGGAAGTGGTACTTTTCCTACTTTGAATTTTTTAAAAGCCTATAACTTGAGTACTATTTCAGATAGATAAATGAAATTTCACATGTAAGTAAAAGATCTAATTCTCTACCTTCTGTAAAATTTTGAGTAATTTCCGTTGACTGGAAGTAGTAATTTACGCTACTTCCGATTTCTCAAAAAACTAATGTAAATTTTAAAAGTACTAATAATATTGCGCACTATTATGCGCTTTTTTTATTTGCGTTCACTTGGTGTGCAATTAATTTGTCTACAAGATTTTATTCTATTTTTAAAACTTTAAGTATTTAAAATGGATTAAAAATCATGTCTATAGCCCGAGTTTCCATCCCCTGTTATTTTATATAAGAATATTCGAGAAAGTTTAGGGGAGATCACTCCCGGTTTATTTTACCTGAAATGTGTCGTCTTGGTTTAACTTTAGAAAGTGTGCGTCATTATGAAACATGCCTATTGAAGTGTAATTTATACAACAGTGTTGTATTGTAAACACGTATTCCCAAGTGATTGAATAATTTGTGTTCGTATAAATAAGCCATAACCAGTCATGTACTGATGGTGTCACAAATAATATTTACTTTGATATCTAAATACTAACAACAATACGTAACTGTCACAAATAAGATTTACTTTGATATCTAAATACTAACAACAATATGTAACTGTCACAAATAATATTTACTTTGATATCTAAATACTAACAACAATATGTAACAGTCACAAATAATATTTACTTAGATATCTAAATACTAACAACTATACGTTACTCTTTAGGGTTGGGTTATGAAGGTTAGGTTTAGAGGATTACGGTTTGGATTATTTTCACTGACGTAGTGTCGGGGCTAGAGTAAGTATGTGTGGATATGGTTAGCCGACAGGTAACTATTCTTATATTACCTGACACCGCTCCCCACCTTCTGACGTGCACTAGAACACCCCCCCCCCCCCCCCATCTGTGGATCAAGTCTGTAACTAACCCTGCTTTGTCTGGCGCATTATCGATTCTAACATTTTGTCACGGTGACCACACCCCCCCCCCCATTATCGATTCCACCACCCCCCCCCCCTGTATCAATCTAACATTTTGTCACGGTGACCACACCCCCCCCCCCTTCATCTCACCTCACGCCGCTAGTTTGGCGTCATGTGCTATAAATAACTTTTTTTTTGTTCAATGATGCCTCCACCATTTCCTTTCTCCTCTCGCCAGTCCCCTCCCTTTTTCTCACAGACGTTCATTCAGTCTAGCATCTCGTGCAGGGCAGTTAACTCGTGCCGGTAATGTCTCATCATTTTTATCTCGACTTTCATTGAAATATATAAGGATGATGTTCGTTTAAAAACACGAGCTTCGCTATCAAGGTAAAAAATACATTCATAACCATAATTTTAACTCATTTTTTACGCCAACAGCACTAACATTAACAACACTCATCTCTGATACGCATGAATCGATAGTTAAACTCGTTCATAAATCGTGAATTTTTTTCGATCAACTTTACACTTAAATCGTTCAAAGCCAAACTAAACTAGCACTACTTGTATGGGTCAGTTGTGTTTTGTCCCCTCTCTCTGTTGTCACAAACTATCGTCTGATGCGTGAGTGACGTCAATCCGCCCACCAAACAAGATGACCACTTGTATCTGAATTATTTTATTTTAATTAACCAGTGGTAGAAAATGCGGTAAGTCCCTTAAGCAGCCAAAGGTAGAGAGTTGAATTCCATGAGAACCTTCCCATTGTTGTCATAGGCACTCGCTTGTTGGATTGGTTGACAAACCAAACATTTGAATTCTTAATAAGTATTTTATACACGGCTATTCAAGAACTTAATGGCCTTTGTAATAATAGAAAAATTGGGAGTGATTTACAGCATCATTTTTACAATAAAAATCTATATTTTAGTAGCTTTCCCTTATCAAACCTGACGGTCCATGCGGTAAGTGAAGTAGAGTTCACCTGTTTCTGCGACCGCGCATATGAAGAGATAGTGTTGTCATTACTCTGTCCAGCCGCCTTTACTTTACCTAGCTTGTGTTAGGTACCCATCATAGCTGGGTGGTCTCAGGGGCATACTACTGACTTGAATCTAGATTCGAACTCGAGACTTAATCTAGCGCTGTGCCACTAATCTAGATATAGATCTGGATCTTCTGTATCGGTTCAGGAACCTAAAAACAATGTCTCGTTGCCATAGGCCCAGATAATAAGTAGGCCTACTTTAAAGATTTTATACTTGTAAATTTTTAGCTAATAATTATGATTTAAATCAATGTGATGTAACTAATATATCAATTGATCTTTAAAATAATGTTTAAGTGTTTCCCGCCACACCTGAACAACTGTGTCATAAATCCCCGGATGTGGGTCTCACGTCTGCACCTGGCCACGTGCTAGATTGCCCCGCTAGATGGCCCTCTAGATGGCCCCGCTAGATGGCCCCGCTAGATGGCCCCGCTAGATGGCCAAGCTAGATGGCCCCGCTAGATGGCCCCGCTAGATGGCCCCGCTAGATGGCCCCGCTAGATGGCCCCGCTAGATGGCCCCGCTAGATGGCCCCGCTAGATGGCCCCACTAGATGGCCCGCTAGATGGCCCCGCTAGATGGTCCCGCTAGATGGCCCCCTCGATGGCCCCGCTAGATGTCTCTTGCCATTTCCCTGATTCACGTAGCAACTGAATTCAAGTATCGCGCCGAGTTGAACGTTTAAAATTCAAACAATTAGATTTTATGAACTCCGTGGTTTATCGTTAAAAATGAAATATTTTAGCAATAATAAACTAAAATCGTGTGTACATGAGGCAAGATCATCACGTGATCTTAGCTACGTGCCAGATATAAGTCACCACGTGACCACTCACAGAAACACCTTCAACACCTTAAAACACCATCTGGTGGGCGATAGGAGTCACCTGACTCAGTGCTGTGAGTGGCAGTCTGAAACCTACGTTTGTAGGGCGGGGGTGAGATGGGGGGGGGGGGGGTGAACCGATGACGCTGCCATTACTACAAGCGTCGACCCTCGACTCAAGTGGTTAATGGCGGTACTTCTACTGATACTTAAAGGGTTAACTGCCTAGCCCGTATGGTTCATATATGACGAACAATCTTAGTTTTTGATAGCTGTAGTAAAGAGTTAATGGCAGTAGAAGTAAATATTTCACGTCTAGACTTGTGATAAAATGTGTTTGAATTGATCGTAGATTATAACAACACAAAAATTCGGCCTATCTGCCTACATATCGTCAGCTAGTTATGTTTTATACGGTGCGTCATAGTTTCAAGTGATTTTTTTTTAAATATACATCTTTTAAAGTTAGTTATCCTATTTTTATATCCTATGAAAAAAACCCGTTATAATCAAATTAACCGAATTAACCACATGAGGTATATTACGTCCCTTGAAATGAGGCAATGCGGCTTCAGTGTTTCTTCCAGACTTTTTTCTCCGGAGGGGGGGGGGGGCACTTGAAATCTTCGGGGGGGGGGGGGGGGGCGGTAAACTTTCTTCGGGGTGCGGACACTGTTAAAAGTATATATTTTATATATAAATTAAATAAATTTCATTTCGTTCGGGGGGGGGGGGGGGCGGTAAAAAAATTTCGGGGAGGCTTGCCCCCCCCCCCCCCCGAAGAGATGCCTGGGAGAAACTCTGTGCGGCTTTGTTTAATTTTTCTCTGATTTATTTAACAATACATTGCCTACCCTAAAAAATTCAGCATCAGGTTTTCTGTTATCTTCCAAAACTCAACATGAGTGACCTTGTCTTCAATGTATGAGTAACTTCGTGTTTAATGTATGTTTCTTAAAACTAAATTATGATAAAAAGTAGGATATTTCTTGCCGATTTGTTTTTGCTGATTGAAGAGGGGTGGGGGCGGTTACACGGAAACTTATGACGTCATTACCTGTCTTTGTGTGACGATTGTGTGGTAGAGGTGTAAGAGGGGTAGAAATGGCCTACTCTCAGAGGCGTAGCGAGGGCGGGGGTGCGGACCGCACTGGGTGACACCATTTAAAGGGTGACACCAATGCAAAAAATTGCAAAATGTACAGAACAAAAATGCTTTTTGCCAGTTCCATTAATTATTAATTAAAGGTAAATAGTACAAATCGACAATTATTACAAGAGGGTGTGGGTGACAACATGACGCAAACGTGCTAACTATAGAGAAAACATTGCTACATCCAACTGTATTATTAACAAACTAAAGATAAACATCGTTACTATTAAGTCTGCAGTAATCAAAGCTTATACACATATATGTACCCGTATGTGGCATGTATTTAAATAATATATATATATATATATATATATATATATATATATATATATATATATATATATATATATATATATATATATATATATATATATATATATATATATATATATATATACTTTATTTCTTGGGGGGGGGTGACACCACGAAGTGCCGCACCAGGTGACACCCGACCTAGCGACGCCTCTGCCTACTCTCACATAAGTTTTATGTTACTTGTTTTTAATTACAAAATTATAATTATTATTTGTTATTTATGCATATGTTGTATTAACATAACTTTTTTTTTCAATCTTTCAGAAACCAGCCATCCTACGTGTAACTACATACAATACTGTCAGCCCGCCAAATGCCATCAACGACTTGTTTATTGATTGATCGCTGACAGGTACACCAACCTCTGCCAACTGATTACAATACACCTATTGTCCTCACCTACAGTCATCGACCCAAGCAAGGGAAACTCCGTCCAGTCATCCAGTCATCCAGTCAACTGCGCATGGGCCCGTCCCACCCACCTGACAACCCCGTGCCCCATGGGTTGGGTCAATGGACGAGGTCCATCTAGACAAAACACGAGACAAGCAGCACTCACAACCTGCACCTACAGTTGGATCAATAGCGTTGGGACCTGATACATTAGCCACACGCCGAGCATGGATGTACTGTGTTGTCCACACACACGTTACTGTGTGATTTATTTTCTCGTTATATATGTATCCACAGGTGAGTTCACTTACCGATAGAGTAAAAACTACATTTGCCAAATATTAAGTGTATGTATCTGTAAGCCTACTACATTTGCCAAATATAAAGTGTATGTATCTGTAAGCCTACTACATTTGCCAAATTTAAAATGTATGTATCAAGTAACGCTCTTCTATAACATTCTAATTATAACTAAATTAAAATCTTCACATAAAACATAAAAAGTATGTAGCACGTTTCCTTACACTCTGTCTAGTCTAATCACGTGACTAGATAGCCGTAGACGTATTTAGTCTGGCATAAATCAATCAACGTAAATATATCGATGACTCACGGTAACCCGCCGTGTTACTGTATCGATTCTCTCTCAACTCCGTACATGTGTCTGACGCTGTTTGTCTACTGCTCGTGTCGTAACGTCAGTTACAGCTTGGTTGTACACATGTACACACATACTGAACATGTACACATACATAATGCTTATATTTAGTACACACAGAGCTATGCCGGCGGGAACATACCCCCTGGCTGGTCCAACCAAGCCAGAGAGATGTGTAAGGACAGGGGGAGAGAGATATGTAAGGACAGGGGGAGAGAGATGTGTAAGGACAGGGGGAGAGATGTGTGTAAGGACAGGGGGAGAGATGTGTATAAGGACAGGGGGAGAGATTGTAAGGACAGGGGGAGAGATTGTAAGGACAGGGGGAGAGATGTTCAAGGACAGGGGGAGAGAGATGTGTAAGGACATGGGGGAGAGATGTGTAAGGACAGGGGGAGAGATGTGTGTAAGGACAGGGGGAGAGATGTGTAAGGACAGGGGAAGAGATTGTAAGGACAGGGGGAGAGATGTTTAAGGACAGGGGGAGAGAGATGTGTAAGGACAGAGGGAGAGATGTGTAAGGACAGGGGGAGAGATGTGTAAGGACAGGGTGAGAGAGATATGTAAGGACAGGGGGAGAGAGGTGTAAGGACAGGGGGAGAGATATGTAAGGACAGGGGGAGAGAGGTGTAAGGACAGAGGGAGAGAGATGTGTAAAGACAGGGGGAGAGAGATGTGTAAGGACAGGGGGACAGATGTGTAAGGACAAGGGGAGAGATGTGTAAGGACAGGGGGAGAGATGCGTAAGGACAGGGGAAGAGATTGTAAGGACAGGGGGAGAGATGTTTAAGGACAGGGGGAGAGAGATGTGTAAGGACAGAGGGAGAGATGTGTAAGGACAGGGGGAGAGATGTGTAAGGACAGGGTGAGAGAGATATGTAAGGACAGGGGGAGAGAGGTGTAAGGACAGGGGGAGAGATATGTAAGGACAGGGGGAGAGAGGTGTAAGGACAGAGGGAGAGAGATGTGTAAAGACAGGGGGAGAGAGATGTGTAAGGACAGGGGGACAGATGTGTAAGGACAAGGGGAGAGATGTGTAAGGACAGGGGGAGAGATGCGTAAGGACGGGGAGAGATGTGTAAGGACAGGGGGAGAGATATGTAAGGACAGGGGGAGGGAGATGTGTAAGGACAGGGGGAGAGAGATGTGTAAGGACAGGGGGAGAGATGTGTAAGGACAGGGGGAGAGATGTGTAAGGACAGGGGGAGAGATGTGTAAGGACAGGGGGAGAGATGTGTAAGGACAGGAGAGAGATGTGTAAGGACAGGAGAGAGATGTGTAAGGACAGGGGGAGAGATGTGTAAGGACAGGGGGAGAGAGAGATATGTAAGGACAGGGGGAGAGATATGTAAGGACAGGGGGAGAGATGTGTAAGGACAGGGGGAGAGATGTATAAGGACAGGGGGAGAGATGTGTAAGGACAGGGGGAGAGATGTATAAGGACAGGGGGAGAGATGTGTAAGGACAGGGGAGAGATGTGTAAGGACAGGGGAGAGATGTGTAAGGACAGGGGGAACAGATGTGTAAGGACAGGGGTCGGACAGATATGTAAGGACATCGATCCAATGCAAGCCTACATTTGTTTTGATTCGGCTTTAACTTTTTAAAAATCACGTTTTATTTTTGAAGATCCAATGTTTAGATAGTAGAAATAAAATAACTATTGGCTACCCGAAATTTTAAATATAACAAAATGGGTTTAACCATAATCTAAATCAGGGGTCTCCAAACTACGGCCCGCGGGCCGGATGCGGCCCGCGAAGTCCTCTCATCCGGCCCGCGGAGACCTTTTTGTCGAAGGAAAAATTGTTTGTTGGTGATGGCTGAGGTGCTTTGCCTAGAAAAATCAAATACATGCCTAGAAGAAACTGGCCCCCGAACTGAAATTTGATAGTAAATGCGGCCCTCGGATTGAAAAGTTTGGAGACCCCTGATCTAAATCATCATAAAATTATCTCTCTGTGTGGTGTGTGTTTTTATCGTTTTATTTACAAACGCCAGTCCAATTTTAAAAAACAAGTTAATTAAAAAGTCTAGTGACAATTTTAGCGCAATTTCCTTATGTTATCTAAAAATAGCTCTGTCGTAGCGTAAATCAAGAGCAGGGTTAGTAAAACCATTGGTTAGTTATTAAAACGTTTTTTATTAAATAAACCTAACTACTAACTAAACTAAGCACCTTGAAATCAAGAGCAGGGTTATTAAAACCATTGGTTAGTTGAACTTGATTATCAACATGATAATCATTAAGATGATAGATCTCTACTTCCGGCATGTATATACAACCACACCACACGCGTCATCACGTTCAATAGATGCGTCATCGCGTTCCATGGCTGCGCCATCACGTTCAGTAGGCGCGCAAGTTAATTAAAAAAGTCTAGTGACATTTATGCGCAATTTCCTTATGTTATCTAAAAATAGCTCTGACGTATAATGATGGGGTGCGTTCAAGCTAGAAGAGCGATCGGTTTGTAGGTGTTTATGTAATTTTAAAATTTGTGACCGAACGAGAGGATATTTTTGAAAACTTTCTTCGGCAATATTGTTCTAAATTATGGCAGGAATCGATTGGTACATGTTTCAAGTCGCTAAGTGGTCTGGTTGCCGAGATATGGGCCAAAAACTGCATTTTTTCGAGGTTTTTTGGCTTTTACGGGAAATACATGAAAGAAACCCGGAATTTTTATGGCCTATGCTCATTCTCGTAACTTGCTTAACATAATTGCTTTTGGAACTAGTCATCGATATTGCTTCGTTGAGGATGAGATACGACTTAAAGCCCGGACACACATTCATCCATTCATTCATTCATCCATCCATCCATTCCCAGAAATGACGAGTTAATAAACGCAATTCTCCAGAATGGAAATTGCGCTAAAAAAATTAGATATTATTCCTCGGGCTAATTTTGTAGCATAAAGGTCGAAACAAATTTTCCTTTTTTTCCCCACACTTCAAGACATTTCATTGTCTAACTCTGATCTGCCTTTTGCTCTAACTCTTAAGTGTGTTACCGCCACAAATTTCAATCCAAAAATACTAACAAACAAAAACAACATTAAAAAAAAAATTTCGGCCTCTCTTAAATTACGAAAAAATGTATCTTGAAATAAGAGACCAGCCGTGTGAACAAGTTATCGTTGATAACAGTGTAACTGTACCCTGTGTAAACTAATTTGAGAACCATCAGGCTCCCCACCAGAACATGGTGCAGCATTATCACAGTACGCCACGTCGTTCATGTAAACATCGTCTGCACTACATACGTGGGGGCTGATTGGGTTGTTTACACGATCACATAGACGGTCACTCAATGGACATAATCATCATCACACACACTCACTCAACACATAGCCACTACACACGGTCACTCAACACACACATGGAGTACAGGGTGACACAATCTGGGGTAGGGGTGACACCAAATGACCTTTAGTTTAAATATACCATTATTATATGATTGTTGATGTTGATAACACCCTAATGATGCCACTGCCTCGCCCTTCGTGATATATGTCTATGATATAATTGATATATGCACGTAAAAATAATGATTTTATTTCTTTAAAATTCATTTGGGCGCTTCATGAATACTAGCTCCATATTGTTGTATACTGACTGCACATTATTTTATTTTAAAATTATAAACATGTTGGCTCTAGTTGATATGTTTTGCCTTTAAATTGATCCTCTCAGCCCTGCGTGGAGTGGGGTGTGTTTGTGATGAGACTTCTGTGACAAGAGCCCAGGAATGCGTGGGGAAATTTTCTGACGGCTCAGACCTCATTAGTGGCGACAACATTCAACAAATTGGATACGCTTGCAGGTCAGTTTTTAACTGAGGACCCAACTCAAAAATTGGTTGCTTCTGTTTGCAGCATTCGTCTGGCATTGTCTTCTTGCGCCTGTGTCAAAGACAGGTGGCGCTTGGTTTCTGTGAGCAGTTAAAGAACAGGGGAATTAACAGTGTCAATTCTTGACGCAATGACATCCCTTGAATATGTTAAATATAGAGTGGTCCAACGGGTCCGTTTTCAACCCCTTATTATTGCGTTTCTGAAAATCTGGCATTGAAGCCAGCAATAAAATAAAGCATCTAATGACCTACATTCTAAACCGTGTGTTTCTAACTTTTCTAGTTTAGGTAATCTCACGATATAGCGTCGGAAATCAGTGGCGTAGCGAGGTCGGGTGTCACCCGGTGCGGCACTTAATGGTGTCACCCCCCCCCAGAGGCATAGAGACCCTTCCCAGGGACAAACTTTCAAATTTTCGATTTGCACCCCCCCCCCCTTCGAGTTTTTCTCTATATATTTTGCTATTTTTTGCCTTGGTGTCACCCCCCTAAATGGTGTCACCCGGTGCGGTCCGCAACCCCCCCCCCCCCCCCCCCGCTACGCCCCTGTCGGAAATTATCCGGTGATTTTTGATGAGTTTCATTAACATTCGTTACTGTAAAGCATATTTTATTTCACCGTTGAAATATAAATGGTGTACTAATTAACGTTTTAAGCTTAATCGAAATAATGAAACATAAATTAAAACAATTAGGATTTAGCAAACATAATAATATATATTCAAGTGTAGTAATTTATGTTCATTCATTTTTTTAGCAACAAATACTAAATCTAGATCTAAATTAATTATAAATATAGGCCTAAATATTACTTAATTAATAACAAGGTTGAAAGTACCAATATAAATATTTAACAAAGTCGTGCAGTTGGTTTTAAGTTTATTTTTTATTAGCACAAAGAAAATAGTACGAAAAAAAAGATTAGAAAATTAGCAAAAAAGACTTAATAGAATATTCATTAGAAGAAAATTGAAAATTAGTAAAATATTATATTTTTATATAGTCATATTGTAAAATATTACATAGTCCTATTAGCACACACAAAAATTGGGTTAAAATTTTAGTTATGACTAGAGCAAAATATTATTAGTAACAATAATAAGAGCTAAAATTTTAGTGATGACAAAAACAGTTTAGTCATTTAAAAAATTAGCAAAACATTATAATTTATATAGCAACAACAACAAAAAATGAGTTCAAATTTTAGTAATGACTAAACCAATGATTGATAAAAATTTTAAATACAAATCCAAAGGTTTTAAAAAATTGATAGGCAGGTCAATATTATTTAACATGCAATGAAAATCCATTCATCCAATCATATAACCTATCCATTTAATTTATCATCCAACTAACCATATAGCAATCCATCCCACCATCTATTTATCCATGCAAACATCAATCCATCCACCCATCTATCCATATTATAATTCATCCTATCTATCTATCCTTACAACCATTCATTCATCTATACAACCATCCATTCATCCAAATAACCATCCAACTTTAGGGGGGAGGGGAGTGATTACCCCCACTCACAACTAAGGTTGGGGTGGATGGGATGGGTGAGGCTGGGGAGAGTGAGGTTGTTGTGGATAGGATTAGAGAGGTTGGGTGGATAATGGGGCTGGAGAAGTTGGATTGAGGGGTTGGATGGGCTGGTGGTGGATGATAGGTTGAAGTGGATAGGCTATGGGAAATTGACTGATAATATATAACCCCCATCACCACCCACCTAAGTTGGGGAGTGTGGTTTTGTGGGAGGATGGATAGATGGAAACTTACCCACACCCCCCCCCCCCCTCTTTGGTGGGGGTGTGTGGGAGAATGGATGAATACCCTCACTCCCCTACATCCCCAACCCACCTCCTCCACTACAATCCCCCACATATAGACATATATATATAGAGAGAGAGACAGACAGACAGACACACACACACATTTATATACAAACACACATGGGATGAATATAAAAATGAATATAAGTATCCAAAGTCGTGAAAGAACAAAAATGGTACAATAGCAAAATATGCATACAAACATGCACAAAGCAAATAACATAATGAAAAAGCAGCATAAATTGTACATCAACAAACATCAGCAAAGCAAAAATTAACATGAAAAAGCAACGATCAGTACATCTGTTCAAGGGTAATATTTAGTCAAAATGACCAGAAAATTTGTGAACATGTGTGTTTGTCGGAACCTATTGTGATACGCAAATTCCTGTAAATACGACAAAAATAAGGGTTGGAATGCCAAACCGCCTTTACAAATTTTGCTTGGCCAGCATCCACATGTTCTCGATGTTTTGTGTGTGAATTTTGGAGTCCTCTGGGTCCACACAATTTTCTTCATGGACAATGATAGAATGCTAAAAAATTCCATGTCCTAGATGTGAAATATTGGTGTATGCAGCCCAGCCATCCAAAATTATATGGGGGCCAGGCAAGATATGCTGCAGAATGCAAGCCTGAAGCATGGCTGCCAACCAGTCCTGCACTACAGTCAAAAAACACCTGCCACTGTCCCACCAAAGAACCAGTGACCTTCTCGCCATTGTCCACAGTGATAGTTCAGATGGAAATATTTGGATTCATCGATTTCTACCACGATAGGCTCCCCCTGGTCATCCAAGCCGCTGATTCCTGTACCGTTCCACTGCATCCAATTGCAACATTCTTCTCTCATTAGTTGCAACAGTCAAACACTAAATTTTCCGTAGCATCGCTTTCATATGCAATAAGCTTTTGCGGCATGTCATGTGCCCAACAGAAAATAGTGTTAACAATTTTCTGGAGCGATAGGCTGCATGGAAAAAAACGACTGGTCTCTTACAGACCGGCAGTAGCTGCAACCATCACATGACCATCTTCTGCCATCGATACCCTGTAAAAAAAAAAAAAGCCTGTTGGTACAGATTTAAACTATAGCATTGTACGCACAGAACAGAATTCTGTATTAGCCTGCGTCAAGCACACCACTACAACAAGGTGTTAGGCGTTTGAAAATGTTGGCAGTGAGTTTGAAGACACCAAACTTCAATGCGTATATTGCACACTGGCATAACCTCATTTGCTTTGGGTCTGCCGGCCATGACTAATATTTTTGGTAATCTATCATTTTAGGTACGTAAAATCGCCCGCAACTAGTAATGTGAAAAACAGGTGACTCCCTAAATTTTAATAATTATTTCACATTTTGAGAAGAATTTGTTTTGAAAAACTCAAAAATGTTTCATTTATGTACCTGTTTTTAAACAATTGAATTAAAACTTTTCAGTAATAAATGAAGACTAGCGATGTTTCCAACAGATGCAACCATGCTCATTTAGACATTTACTACAGCCATCTTGTTTAATTTTTTTTTTTGTAAACTTATAGCGCGAGATTAAGGGGAAGCCACTCTATTTTTTACAAATGGCTGCTGTAATAATAATATGGATCTTTATAGCAAATCTTGCTCGCAAACACTGCTGTTAAAAGTTAATTTCTGGCCTATATTATATGTCACATGATATATAATAATATATATTTATTTATTTACTCAATTTAGCCATTGATTTAGGTTTATTATTCATTTATCTATAATATTTGACACAAATATATCACAATATACTTCTATTAAAAGCCTTGACAAAGAGGTAACTTTTTCGTACATTACTAGTCACGGGCGATTTTACTTTTTACGTAGATCTACCTAAAACTTAAAACGATAGATTACCAAAATTCTAAACAATAGAAAATGAAACTAATCTAAATAATTGATAATCTATCGTTTTGGGTACGTAAAATCGCCCGCGGCTTCTAATGTACGAAAAAGTTACCTCATTCTAGACTATATAATATATAGACTAGTAGTATATAGTAAATGAGCATGGTTGCATCTGTTGGAAACATCGCTAGTCTTCATTTATTATTGAAAAGTTTTAATTCAATTGTTTGAAAACAGGTACATAAATGAAACATTTTTGTATTTTTTCAAAACATAAATCCTGCTCAAAATGTGAAATAATTATTAAAATTTAAGGAGTCACCTGTCTTTCACATTACTAGTCGCGGGCGATTATAATTTTACGTACCCAAAACGATAGATTACCAAATAATTATAATTAAATAAATATTATTAATAATAAATAATACACAATAAAGAATTACAATAAAGGATATACAGCAGCAAACTTAAGTAGATACTAAACTTAAAATACCCAATAAATCAATTAAAACAGGTAATTACATAAGGAAAGGTTTTTACGAAGTTATAAAAACGCTCTGTATTCAAAAAGACAGCGCTGAACCTGCATTCAAAAAAATTGAGCGCTGAATAAACTAACGATATAAATAAAACACTTCCGGTTTGCATTTCGGAACGGTGTAATAGATCGTAGGCTATTGTTTACAATTTATACTGCTGAGCTATTCCGGAATAATAACCGACACTATATCGTGATTTTACCCTAGTTTAGACAAGGTGAATGTATTTTTTTTCGCCCCCCCCCCCCCCCCTTATATACATTTTCCAAAGAACAAGTCAAAACTACCCATTTAAAGTTAAATACAAATAAGTGTCCAGGGGTCGTCCGTAAAAACGTCACACTCGTAGGTGGGAGGGGGGTGTCTGTAATTTTGTGACGGTGTGTGATGAGGGGGAGGGGTTCAGATGCTGTGACGCCAGTTTGTTTTTTTTGCATTTTAAAAAAGGAATGTTACAAAACGAGTGTTTTAGCCGTTATTTCGCGTTTTAGTAAACGGTTTTAAAATATTATGATAGGAATTGATCAAAATACTTTATGTTGGCAGAGTTCTGACATGATTTTGTAAAAATATCGATGTTTTAAGAAAAATTCAGCAATTTTGAGGGGGGGGTGTGCAGACTGAGGTGTGACGTCATTTTATGGGGGGGGGGTCTGGCTTTTTGTGACGAAGTGTGAGGGAGGGGGGGAGGTAGAAATCGTCAAAAAAGCGTGACGTCATTTATGGATGACCCCCCCCCCCCCCCCCCCAACCACCAGGATGTTTCGTGTTTGTTACACTTCTCTACTTTCTACCTCCAGCAATGGAGATCTTCTTACCGCGGTTAGCTGTGCCGAACGAGTGTTAGATGAATGTAAACACGAGACCACAGACCACGCCTACTATCTACGCGGTCTGTTTGACATCGAGAGCCAGAGAAGGAGCGTCAACTACTTCTGTACTCATTTCAAACGTAGGTTGGTTTCTTAAGACAAAATATAGGTTATAGTTTCATCAGCGCCCTCGCCCGTAGAAAAATGCTTGAAAGAAACTGTTTACTAATTTCAACAATTTGCAGTCACCAGCAGTGTTTCTTCCAGACTTTTTTCTCCGGGGGGGGGGGGGGGGGGCACTTGAAATTTTCGGGGGGGGGGGCGGTAAACTTTCTTGGGGGGGGGGCGGACACTGTTAAAAGTATATATTTTCTATATAAATTATATAAATTTCGTTCGGGGGGGGGGGGGGGGGTAAAAAATTTCGGGCCCCCCCCCCCCCCCCCCCCCCGAAGAGATGCCTGGAAGAAACTGGTCATCAGTACCCGCCAGTAGTGTTTCTTCCAGAGAGGAGGTGGACTAAAATTTCCAGTGGGGAAGGGGGGGGGGGCGGACACTGTTAAAAGTATAGCATAAGTTTTCTATATAAATCCATTTCGTTGGGGGGGGGGGGCAGAACTCTCCCCCCCCCCCCCCCTGAAGAGGTTGCCTGGAAGAAACTCTGGACAGATCTGTAAGGACAGGGGCCAGAGAGATGTGTACACTGTTGGCAACTGAGAGTTTCACACCACCCACTCAAATAATTTAACATTGTTTGGTGTTGGGGAAAAAATGGCATCACCCAGTGGGGACTGTACCCCCCTCTATCTACTTTGTGATGCTATTGGGTTGCTGGTCTGTGAAATGGTGACATAAAATGATGTTCTTTGTTTTTTCTTAACTGGACAGTTTTTGAGAAAAATGCAGACTGCATCTCCAGACAACATACAGAACAGGAAGTGTGTGCAGAGGAGGCGGTCAACAACTTCAAAACACAATCTGAAGCCACATCCAACATTGATGCTCTCATGAGTTTTCAGTGCATGTAAGGTTTAGCTTTTTTTTTTTAATATTTGGGATTTAGCAATGATTAAATATCTAATTGAAGCAGTTTACAGACTTTTTGCCATAATGGTTGTATGAAGTTGGCAGACCTACCAAGATTTAATGGGCATGGGGAGCTCAGTTAAACAAATAGCATTGAGCCAAAACTAATAAAATTTAAAAATAAAACTTAAATATGCTACCACATGCTGTGTAAAGGGAAATAACCGAAACTCCAAAACAGAAACTTTTATATCTTTTTAAAATAAAACAGATTTGTAACATTAAAGAAAGAGAATAAATAACTATAAGAAAATGAAACTGCATCCTTTGAAAAAAGTATGTTAATTAATGAGTTAATTTTACATAAAATTGTTATTGCCCCTTTAAAATCCAGTTAAGAATTTTCCCATTTGAATGACTGCTGAAAAAGTTTTTAGCTACAAGAGTAAGACTCAGCCACTAGTGCATCTCCCAGTTAATGCCCAGTACACCCATAATTTCCTTTAAAGGTCGAAGTCCTAGACTGGCCAATATTTCCTAAAGATCAAAGTCTTGATGTGACTTCTATCCTCCTAAACTGTCACCAACCTTGAACTCAATGAACTTTTCCCCAGATTTTTCCAAGCCACAAAAAAATGCCAGCTGGATGTGTTGAAAAGCAAATGTTCAAGTGACGCGGTGGACATTGTGAGAATAATACTTGAAGGTTTCCAGCCTCCGATCTGTTCCTCAACAGTAAGAGCAGAGAGTAGAGACAATGATAGCAACAACAGCTCCACTTCTATAGCCCTTAGCTTAATTGTCTTTGTTATAAGTCTTTTATCAACAATAGATAGATTTTACTTTGTAGTATAAATAATGATCAAAGACTTCCTACATCCACAGACACAATCAGAATAATTTTATTTTTAAATTGTCTGAAATTATTTAAACTCCAAAATGACAAGATGGTTGCATGAAGGACATTCACATGTTGGGCTATGTTGGGAGAGTGGGTTTTTTACCATATATCTGCATCAATAAAATTTTAATATTTCTACATTCTTGTAGAAAATACTGGAAAGATAAATTTGTTTACCATTAAAATGTAACTCATTTTAACATTTTTTTTCAAAGCCAAATAATGAAAGATAAAATCTTGTGCTATTGTGTATACTTGTACCACATGTTATATTTTGTATATAATGCATAATGTTAGATTTTGATTTGATAGAATATGGTTTGTAAAAAAAGCTGAAGGAATTTAAATTGCACAACATTGTAAATAACCATTGTTATAAATTAGCTCTATTGCCTTGTAGATGTTAAAAAAACTATTGATTTAAATATCTTAATTTTATGTCTGTACTGTATGCACAAGAGTAAGTTTATAATTTTATTTATTTTTTTACTTGCTCCAATCTATTACATTTTTTTAATTTCATCTGCTAGACATTCCCACCTCAATAACAATTGTCTCGTTTAAAAATACTTGCAGATTTTCATTAATCCAAAATATTTTTCTGGAACAATTAGTTATTGTATTTTTCAAGTATTAGTTAAACAAGGTGACATTTATCAAAAGGGATTTTGCCCAACTAGCTCAACAAAATCATTAAGGGGGGACCAGTAGTGAAAACACCTTTTGTTACAAGATACATGCTTTTTTAAAATTGTATTAAAATACTTTAAAGATTATAATATTGTAGCCTACTTATTTGGGGTCAATTTTTACATTTTAGCCAAATTAGGGGTCAAAGTGAACAATTTCGAGGTGCACAGTGGAAACAAAATAACTAAACAAATAATTTAAAAACAATGCAAAATAACTTTGCACATTCCTAGTAGACATGACAAAGGACGGTTTGCCAAAAGGAAATTATGATATCTTACAAAATGAATTTTTTGTGCAATTTTTAAAAACAATTGAAGTACAGCGAAACCCTTCTACTGATTTGTAGATACATATATTCGCAACATACAATGTTCATTTGAAGTATTTCTGATTGGCCCATTTTGAGATAAATTGATTCCCCTGAGTTCTATACTGTAGAATTGACAAAACAGGGACAACTAAAAATGAAGCTTTATTTTCTAAATATTTTATCATATAAATGTATGTATTAGCATACAAATGAAAAATCTTGATACATAATAACTTTTCCGATAATATTTATGGGGAAAACAGCAGCTTACGACTTAACAATAATAAAAAAAAATTATTCCAACCTTCTCTAGATATTCAAAATCCCAAAAAATAAGATAAACAAAAATGATTTTAGATGAAAAAAATTGAAATATTTCAACGTTGACTACCAGTCCCCCCTTAAGACAAACTATATTGTGCATTTGGTCTTACTCTGCTAACAGTCCATATAATAAAATCAACTCTCCTAAAGAGTCATTTTGGGGGTTCCGAATTTTATTTTGTGTAGATTTGGGAGAAGAATTCAAAATTGTGCATTTTTGTAGTTTAAATGAATTAATATATACAATGTTGACACAGCTTAGTAGATATTTTAGAAAAAAAAAATCAATGTTTTAAAATACAAAACCTGCAGTCAATAAAGGGGGTGGGGGGAGGGTAAAAAAAAATTGTCCAAAACAGCATGATGTTGTATTTATAGATCTCATCTTGAATTTAGATTATATAGTTTAGTATTAATGTTGTGAAGTCCAACCTAATTAAGACACTTCTTTATGTGCAGTATGGCCCAGTGGATTGCTAGACATACCTGAATTACAGGTAGTGCATTGACATGCCTGAATTACAGGTAGTGTATTGACATACCTGAATTACAGGTAGTGTATTGACATACCTGAATTACAGGTAGTGCATTGACATGCCTGAATTACAGGTAGTGTATTGACATACCTGAATTACAGGTAGTGTATTTGTAAAACTTTTATGTATTTCTAGTGTTTAATTTTATTTTTAAACAGAACTACAACATATATTACAAACCAAAGTAGGACTATATAATGACTATTATTTTACCATTCCAAAATGGTTGTGTATCATATTTACATTATCAAGATCATAAATATTTTACATTTGCTATGTAACAGCTATACTACTAACTAGGCTAAATTTTAATGTTTTTGAACATTTGATAGACAATAATTTCAGGTTTAGAAAATACTATTCTCAGAACATTTATTCAGATACCATATATATATATATATATATATATATATATATATATATATATATATATATATATATATATATACTTTTTTAAAAAATAACCGTGTTTTTGTATGTGCTTGATGATCATAAATGCAAGTGTTTTTTCAACAGAATTTTAAGTTAAATGGGTGTAGCATATTAGTGTTCCAGGTGGTAAAAACCATATGTGGTCATCCCCATAGTTAACTGTCATATAGAATGTAGGCTAAATGTTCACTTTTACTTTGTTGTTAATTCTTCTTAGTTTTAATATTCTGCTCTTTGATTTGTTGAAATTATCACATGCTTTTGTAAATTTGTGACCAGTGATTTGTTCATTGAAGTGTGTACAACTTCAAAGGTTAAATATTTTAAATATAATTTATTCTGATTTTTAAAACAATTTTCGTGCAATTTTATTTTGTATATTTTATATTTATTCACTCCACCTGCTTGTTAATTGCTAATCCTATTTACCTTTTTTTTTTACAACTGCTGCATTTATTCATCTTCAACACAAGTGTTTTTTGTCAAATCTTTTCAAATTTTTTAAATTCTTGAATTTGAATGTTATTTTATTTTCTTTGAAAACTTTTGATTGGTAAAATTAAAATAAACGTTTGTCATGCTGTAAAAATATGAAGACAACAGTAGGAATGACACCTTTGTTTTTTGTTTTCGTTGTCTGACAATGCTATGATCCAAAGAGTTGAACAAAATGAATGTTTTTAAGTTGTTTTAAACTTCATTTTTTTAAATTGAAGCCTTTCACTTGGTGCAACATGTGCATTATTTTTTAAATTTATATTATACTGTTATAGGCACTAAATAGGTTACCTAGCATTATATTGTATTTATCTTTTTAGAACTTTGTCTTAAAAATTAACTATGCAATTGTTTTATTTTGCTTAAGAAGTTTTTTAATCTCAACAAAAAACCTGCTGCCTTAAGATGTGGTTCAATTTATCCAGGCAATCAAAAAGGCCGACAATGTCTATTTAATTTACAACAATAACATCAAGATGTGAAATTTTAGTGTCAACATTTTCTAATTACAACTTGTAAAGAATGAACATTTCATTATGTTTTATATTTAAATAAATAGTAGATCAATAGTAATGTAGAAAAAGTACTCAAAAACCATGTCTGAAAAAAGGAAATGTGCACTATGGTAAACTCCACTTATCATGATTTTTGACTAAATGTACTTACTTTTAATTGACATTTTCACCAGTGTATTGTGAAATTTTGTTTATTTCACTAGTGACATCTGTAAGTTATTTATAAGCAATATTATTTCACAAATAGTATTTTTTGTTGTATTGATATTTGTTTTTAATTAATAAACAACGCTTTTCTAATAGTACTTCTATTAAATTTGTAGGAATTTGAGCCAGGACACCATAGAAAATTAAGTATAGCATCTAAGCAGTAAGTTTATAACTAATCCAATATTGGCAATATTAATTGCGCATGCTAACAATCAACAGGTTATATCAACAAGATCTATACAAAAAATATAATTGCCTTGGACAAAATTTCATTACAGCCGGCAGATTAAAGAGATCCCAAAACTTTTATCTCTGCCGTTTAAATATTTCTCTAAGACAATCACACTATTTGTACACTTATAGATGAAACATCCTTACACACACTAAGATTTGTTAGTGGCCAAAATTGTGTTAAAGTCCTATGGGTTACAGAGTTATAACACCACAATGAAGAGCTAACATCTGTGTCTCTAACTTTCATTCAACATCTAAAAAAACATGGAGGTGGCAGCCAGGCTTTTTCATTCTCATTCAATAAAAGACAAAAGCAGTTCTTTTAGAAATGCTTTAATTTCACTATGTACATTTGATAGACATTTATCCATATTTAATTCTCATCAACAATGCTTAAAATGATGAAATCATATGAATAAATAACACAGTATTGAAAACTTTATTGTATACTACAGATTAAAATTACGTACTTAAAAAACAAATCTAACTGTATTCTTACAGTAATGCCAAATGTTCTGCTGACAATAATATTGTGCTTTTGTTTAAAATTACAGTCAGTGCTGAAATTTTTTTTTACTGCAATATGCAATAGCATACTTCTGTTTTCTATGTCTTTGACTTGTTGAAAGCTTAACTTCACCAAATTAAGCTCAATATCACCAGTTAAACAAACATTTTCACTAAGATCATTATAAATTGTATTTTCTAAAATAATGGAAACATTATAACTTACTTGGTCAACAAACATAAGAACCTAACTTGTTAAGAGCACAAGGCAGGATATTGTAATAGGAGAGTAGTTTGTTTAAAGTGAAAGTACACTTTTGTAACCAAATGAGTAAATAAAGTCACCACCAAACAGAACAAACTAAAAGTGACAGCCCAGATATATCACAAAAAGGAAACCTCTTTGTGGTATAAAAAAAATGGTAAGCACAAGATAACACTAACTGTGCTAATTAAAACTGTCACTTCTGAAGAACATAACCACCAGGTTTTGGCCAGTTGAGGTGATGTATGATGTGTTATTTATTGGTTTCTGATGAATCTGTACACATTTTCTAATGTATGTTGGAAGCTACTGATACGAATGTTGTGATCCAAATATAGAGCTGCCCTCCTGTCCTCCTAAAGAACCTACTGTGGGAAACTGTTGAGATGCTAGAGCTGGATCTTCTTCCATCATACGATTAGCTGAAATAATAATTGGATGAAATTAACTTACTCCCAAGAACTGGCTTCCCATTTAAATAAATTACCTTGAGTAAAAGGAAGCAATAAAAACACAAAGTTTTGGTATCTAACAACACCATAGCTGAATTGAATGTGCTTTTAGCTCAACAAAAAAATCATGAGAACTTTAACAATCTCAAAATATGAGTGATTTTGTTATAAATCTGAAAATTGAGACAGTGTAACCAGCTGCATAAGATGAAACAAACTCCATGACAAACTTTGATTCAGAGCAAATGCCATGAGTTAAGAAAAGACATCAAAACTATTTTTTTTAATAAAATTAATTTGACTTTCTTGAATGCCAGCTTTAAGTATCAAATAGACTTCCTTTAGAAGAATATTTGTAGAATGAGTACAACTGATCTTACCAGGGTTGAACTGTTCTGCAGTAAACCTTGTAAACATGATACCAAAGCCTTCTATTAAAGCAAGTAAAACACCACCTGTAATGAAATTTAATCAAGATCAAATACTGATCAGCTTAATACTGAAACATTAAACAGAATACTGACTTATTGTGGTACTATCATAACTTACCAATAATCGCTGAGCCAATTATAGCCCCTGTTCCATCTGCAAAAAGAAAGGCAAAATTTTAAATTTACATATTTACTTATCTCCTTGACTAGAAAAGAAAGGCATTACAAAGTTTTTTGGAATATTTACTTCTAACTGAAAGAATCGCTCCAGTAAGGGCCCCACTAGTTATGGAATTCCAAGGATCCTCCTTTTTCCTCATGTATACCATAGTGCAATCTATAGCTGAGAAAAGGCCACCCCATACTGCAAAGTTTCCTAGAAGAAGTAAAAACAGATCTACATATTACAAAGTACAAGTCTCTTTAGATATACAATAATTTTTAAAACTCAAGACAAAAAAACTCAAAAATTCTTAAACTGATGTGTACCTCCTACTATTGGTGCTCGCTCCTTTAAAGTGACAAAACTGCTTATTAAACGCCTGTAGTTACCCTGTGAAACAATCATAAAGAATTTTTTAAAGACTAATGGGACAATAGTAAATATTTGTTTAAATATTCTAAGTATTGGTACCAATTAAAATGGCCAGACAATAAATAACTTTTTAAATATTGAAAAAAAAAATGATGTTGATATTGTATAATATACAGATCTTACACTTGGAGCATTTCTAAAGCCTTTGACACCATGAAATAAACTGCCTCCAATGGCACCCATTGAAAAAGCACCCCCACAGTCTTCCATAATTCTCCATGGACTGTAAAAGATTAACAAAAATGTCAGACCAATTACTATTTTACTCAGAAAGATGTAGGCCTCTACACCAGACTACATATTCTGGGCTAAATACTAAATAGCCTAAAAATAAACTTAAACTTAAAACTAAGAAGATTTTATGTAAGCATGCTCGTACAACACCACAAACATAGATCTATGTCTATTTATATAATTATGATTAAAAAAAATTTAAATGTGATTGTTGTGAGAGAAGAGTGCAAAACCATCTCATTGATCTTGCACTTAGGGGTCGGCGTGGTCGAGTCGGTAAAGCGCATGGTTGCTAAACCAAAAAGTCTCGAGTTCAAGTCTCTGGCAGATGAAGCTAGTTAGCTGGGGACAGCAACTCTTCTAATCTAGGAGAGACAACTCCAAAATAAAAAAACTGCTGCCCTGTAGTTTGTTCTTGGTTGGTTGGACAAAGCAAAGGCTATGAACGTGAAAGCAAATCCATAAAGAAAAAAGGCTGAAATCGGAGTCAATGGCCTCAATGGCACATATTACATAACCAGTTGACACGTATCCTCAATTCAATTGTGTTGGAGGGGATACCTTCCAACACTAAAATTAAGAACGAAGATCTTGGCTCTTGGACTTGCAGTTTACAGCAGCAATCTCCCATGAAATTTCATTATTTCAATTTAGTTGGTAGAGAGATGTGTAGATAAAAAAAGACAAAGAATGATCTAGTTATATCTCTAGATTCTAGAATATTTTAGATCTAGCTAGATCTAGATCTACATCTAGAATACTTCAACATTTGAAAATACATCTGATCATGTAGCACGATCATGACTGACGCAATAAATTTATTTAGAAATTGAAATTTGTGAGCAGTAACCTAAGAATCACGTAGATTTCTAGATTCTACTGAACTCAATTTTTCGCTATAATTTTTGTTCGTCCATATTGTTATCATCGTAAGATAAATACTTACCACGGCTCTCGTGCGTAGTCCTCCATGCCCTTTTACTTAAAAAAAAATTTAACAAAATTTTAACAAATGTGACTATTGATGGTGACCTCAACGATGTAGGGCTTGGATAAGTCCGATTTGTTGCCAAATTTAGACCTATTTTATTTTTTTATTACAAAAACATAAATCTTATCAAATTGACCATATGTTTATAAATATCCTAAAAACAATAATTACAACTCATTATTATTTAGGTAAATGATATATATTTGGCATGATAAATATAAGGAAGATAAAATAAGGAAATCCAGTAAGTGGAAAATTATATTCTCAACTGGTATCTAGGTAAAAAGGGGAGATAATAACATAACTTCCTTTCCATCTGAAATCGAAAGTACAAAACTTCGATTATAACTAGATCTAGATTCTAGATCTAGATTTAAATCAACTATGATCAACACCACACACAATAGCTAGATCTAGATCTAGGCCTAAATTAAATAAACTACACTAGTGAATTTGGTTCGTAGATTTATATTAAACGGCATTAATCTCAAAATAAATTAATAAAGACAGTGTTACTGTTTGATGATGTCAAACAAAATAAATACTAGATTCTAAATAATCTAATAATACTGTCTAATAACTCTAATACTAAATGAGAAATAATACTGAAATAGACTCTAATAAATAATTTACATTGTTGTTAGTTGGTTGTTACTTTTTTAGGTAAAATCTTAGTTTTAGCGTCGTAAATTCGGCCAAAACTAGTAATGTAGGAGAGAGTGAATTAATGAATATGTCGTTAAATATGAGTATATTTTCGTATATTTTGATAAAATATTATAAATAATTAAATAATAAATCACTATTAATGGTTAAATCAATTTAAATATCCTGAAATTAATTTTTATCAACCCTGTTCGAGATAGTAAATTTGCTATTAAAAACAGCAGCCATCTTAAGAAAAAGTAATTTAGAGTAGCTTCCCTTTCATTTCTATTCGTATGAAAATGTACTTAAATATGATTGTCTTGTTGTATAGTCCGTATTACAAAGCATTTTTTTTTAAATTCTGCTCTTTAAAAACTGAATTTCCTAACAAACAACTTTATTAATTCTAGAAGCATTGTGAGATGCAACCTGTATCCATGTATTAAATCACGTTTTTTTTTTAACTAATGTTTATTAGATCTTACTATTACTATACTATATAGTTTGAGTTTTTTCTTATTGTTTGAATGTTCACTATTTTCATTTCAGGTTTTTCTTTTCAATCGTAACTTATGACATTTTTTTACTTCTCTTTACCTTAATTAAACCCCAACCACCGTCATATTTTTGTTGTCAATGTCACAACAAGTCATAATGTAAAAAAATTACGCTTCACTCTGCCTTATCTAAGATCTCTAACCATAATTTTGACAGCATTAAATGTTTGTCATCATTTATATATACAGAGAGACAAAATGTATTATCCACCAGCTTCCCTCGTAAAACATCATCTAAAACAATGAACCAGTCCACCCCTTAAAGTGTGTGTTGTCATTTTGGTCGATCGCAAGTCTTCACCTGCCAGACACATTTAGGTTATCCTTTGTTGTCAAAATGTCAATATCAAGTACCCAAGTGAGTAATATGGGGTTGTCCATAAATGATGTCACATATGATTTGCTACGGGAGTGAGTGAAGATTTGTGACGTCAACTCTGGCGGCTCCGCAATTTATGACGTGTCGGTCTCATGAAAGTAGGTGAACGGGGAAAAATACCTAGGTGGTTGATGGAGAACCTCTATAATGCTTTGTTCGATCAAAATAACGATAAATAAGCATTAGTATACGTATACCTTGCTCAAAACGAATCATCACAAATGTTGCAAGCCTGCTAGTTTAAGACATTTGGCAAAACGGCCTCAACACATTATCCCTGTCAAAAAGGCTTGCCACCAAATGCCTGCCGACGAATAAGCCGCGTCTAATGCGGGGCGTTAGGAATATGGCCATTAGCATGGGCCGCGTTAGAGCACCAGTAGGCTATCGCGCTTTGTAAGATGTCGTAAATACTTTAATTCAATTTCGCGAAACTGCGCGAAAATTTAGTAACGTTCCATTGTTTAAAGAAAATTTATTTTCTTGGGCTCAAATTGAAATATCATGTTGACTGTCTGGCTCTTAATTTCAGAATATCACTTTTAATGTATCATGATTCAGAACTATAATTTACTTTAATATAAGTGTCATCTTATCGTTTATTGTGCTTTTTATAAAGCGCAGAGCAGCTACAAAATCGGACGGCCATCCTGGTTTCACCAAGCTTCTTTTGGAGCTTAATATGTGTAGTCTAGTTCTATACGGTGAGAGCTTAATACATTTTTAAAGGGCCGAAAGTCTCAAGACAGCAAGCTTGCAGAAATAACCACGTATGTTTAAATGGACGAGTGATAGATATGTTAGGGGCTGTTTAATTGAACACCAACATATGTAATCAAATTAAATCTCGCATAAGTGTCAAAAAGGCAGTGCTTGTTTTTTTCTATAAAATTAGCCTAACGGTCGGCGGTACCGGTACATGACGTCACGTGCGAGCGTTAACTCGGTGACGATGTGCTAAGTGGGGGAATGAAAAAGGAGGGGTTCAAGAAATGCGACTCGGCAAGCTTTTTACATTTTTTGACCCTTCTTAATAGTTCTATCGTCCCCACTGAGAAAATGGATCACCAATGAATGACGCGTCATACTTCTACAGCTGGTCTTTCTCCCACAACCATCCCGTTTTCACGAAAAAAAAAAACCTGACCCGTCTCCAAAATCACATCGCTGAGTTCTACTCAACCTCTCCCCACCACAAATCACAATTTCTATATGAAACAATATGTTCATATGTCTGCTCTTTAATAATGCACGCTGTCATTACTATCTTAAGAGCGACGTCATTTATGAGCGATCTAATATTGATTTGCTTACTGCAAATAAAGTGTTCAAAAGTTCGACCTCCCAACAATTGTTGTGGTCTTGGATGCACACTATTAAGTCTGAAAAGGTCTATTAGTCATTTATGTCAACTATATTTTAAAAAAAAAAAGAAAAATTACTATACAGAAGGTCATTCATAAATGACGTCACGCTTTTTAAACCTCCCCCCTCCCCTCCGTCACACGTCGTCACAAAAAGCCAGACCCCCCCTAAAATGACGTCACACCTCAGCCTACAAACCCCCCCCCCCTCAAAATTGCAGTTGAATTGTTTTTAAACAGCTATATTTTTCCAAAATCTTGTCTGAACTCTGTCAAAATAGAGTATTTTAATCAATTGTTATTACAATGTATTAAAACAGTTTTCTAAAACGCAAAATAACGTATAAAATTCGTTTTCTAACATTGCTTTTTTAAAATGCAAAAGTGTGACGTCGCACCATCTGAACCCCCCCTCTCCCCCTCATCACATAACGTCACAAAATTACGGACCCCCCTACGAATGTGACGTCATTTATGGATGACCCCCAGGCATATATTAAAACAATACAAAACAATCATATTAAACCACAAAATCAACACAAAGACATACGAATAGACAATTTATTGTTTTCAAAACATGGCCGCAGCTTGTATTTCCTCATTGTTGTCTCAAACGGGGTAGTTTAAAGTTTATTCCAGGATATTTATGACTGGTTTGGTAATGGATTGTGATTTGTTATTCAATTATCTGTTATATTATGTAAAATATGACATAAATATGGCCAAATGAAAGAAATATTCATTAGTTACCTTCATCGCACATTACTAGCTACGTTGGAATTTACGACGCTAAACTAAGATTTTACCCTTTTTTAATACTTTTGTTAGAGAGTGTTAGACTGTGAAGTGTTAGCTGTTAGACTGTTATGTTTAACAGTGTTAGTGTTAGACATTGCTGTAACTGTAATGTTAAATCAAGTTAAATGTTAGATCTAGAGATGTTAGGGTAAAACTCCATTTTAGCGTATTTTATTCCCCGCTTCACGTTCACCTCCAGTTGAGCGTATTTTATTAATTATAAACACAACCGAAACACACAAAAACGGTAGGAAAACATTGGGTTTATTTCTTTATGAAGTTTTGTTTTAGTTTTGATAATTTGCTTTTGTCAAAACTTGAGAAAAATCCAAGTTTTGAATATTGAATGTGCTATGTTCATGTGTCTGTTAAGATATTCATGTCAATGGGTGAAGTACGAAACTCACAATTGCAAGGTAGTTAGTTAGGCTAAGTTTGTATTGTTACAAGTATCTCCCACGCATGATACTATAAATAAACTTTTATGAACTCACAATTACCCCAAAACTGAGGCCAACACCATTTCAAATAGCTGCTGCCCAACTATGACATTTGCTGATAATTAATAAAGTCCGTATGAACTCACGGTGAACCCTCGACAGTGTAGGGTTTTCCTCCCGCTGATGATCACATGCTATTTAATTGGAACTGCCCTAATGCTTATGTTTATTTTTTCTTTACCTTTTCTAATTAAAACTCACAATAATAAAAAAAATAAGTAGATCTAGCTCTAATCCTAGTGTTTCCTAACGTTTGTGTGTGTTTCGGTTGTGTTTACAATAAAATACGCTCAACCGAAGGTGAATGTGAAGCGGCGAATAAAATACACTTAAATAGGCTTAAATGGAGTTTTACCAATACGAAATATTAGGCCTAAATAAATTAAATTTAAAATAGGCCTAACACTAACAGTATTACTATTGGATCTAGTAACAATCTAATAATATATAAAATATAATATAGATTTATAGATCTAGGCCTAATAATTGCCCAATGAATTGGTAATCTATTTGTTTTAGGTACATCGTATAAGTATAACAGATAACATTACTAGATAGTACTAGTATCTAGATCTAGTATTACTAATACACCTAGATCTATTATTGATTTATTAGTATTAGACATTAGTAATACTAATACTAATCTCGTCTGATTATATGATTATCATTATAAAATTATAGCAACTTATACTACTAATAGTATAATTACAAAATCTAGTAATGTGAAAAAAAGGTGACTCATTTAATTTTAGTAATTATTTCACTCTTTTAGGAGGATTTATGTTTTGAAAGTTACAAAAATGGGATGATTTTAGATTAGGTTGTAGCATACAAAATGAATTTTTGAGTATTTTATCTTAAAATCATAAGAGTTAGAGGAAGAATTAAGAATTCCATTGGTACCAAAATTATATCTCTAGCTTCTACTCGAGAGGTGAAATTTTTTTTTTTCTGTTTAAAATGTATGGTCTTATGTCTTAGAATGTCTTATATAATCTCTGTAAAAATGAAACAAGTGGGGGTAAAATCACGATAAAACACACAAGATGATTGTCTTAATAACTAGTTCTTAATTGAAATTTTTTTAAAGGATCAAGTCCAATGTCCTCCAAACAGTTTGATAGTCTCTAGCGAGACTGAATGAACTGCTGAGCCATATATAACATAGTGTGATCTCCAACTCAGTAGAACAAGCCTCTGCCTCTCCATAGGTAGGCCTACAATTTTTCTCATTGTATCGGCGTGGTTTTATAATCATGATTAGTAAAAAATTTAAAATAAAACTTTAAATCTGATTTTCAAATTAGGTAATTAAAAAACTAAAGGAAATACTAATCATGCTAAAAAAATTACTGATTTTTAAAATATACTAACATCTAAAAAGTATAATGTGGTACAACAAACTGTTTCAAATGACCAAATTAAAATATTTTTATATGAGTTAATAGGTCTATAATATATATATATATATATCTATAATAATAGTTTCGCTGTCTGTGTATGTATCTATCTATCTGACAAGAACGCTCTGTCTGACAAGAACGCTCTAGAGAAAACATAAGCAAAAATTCTATCTGACAAGAACGCTCTAGAGAAAACACAAGCAATTTAAAAACTCTCACAGTGAAACGAAAGACGAAGTATGACGTCGACACATTTAGCATGGAGTTGAAAATAATCTCAAGGCGGAAAGTGCACAAAGTAATATAATGACGTCATTGATTGTCGCGTAAACATTGAATAAAAAGGAAATGTTGTCTAATCTAAATGGTTTGCGTGAAGAGTTTCTTGCATACAATTCTTCGGGTAGGGGCGAAGCCCCACCCCACGCGTAAGAACGTCTGAGCCCCCCCCCCCCCTCCCCAACTCAAAAGAAATTTCTTCATCGATACTCTATAATAAAATTACCGCCTAATTAATGTGTCTAATCTAAAAAGTGGTTTTCTTGCAATTTCTTTAATGCAATTCTTCGGGTAGTGGCCAAGCGCGACACCAGTGTTTCTTTCAGACTTTTTCCTCCCCGGAGAGGGGTGGGGGTACTTGAAATTTTCGGGGGCGGGTGTAGAATTTTCGGGGAGGGGGCGGACACTGGAAAAAGTATATAATTATATTTCGTTGAATGGGACGGTAGACATGTTTTTTTTAGAGGGGGTGGGTGGGGGGTGTGGGGGGGGGGTGAGTGGGGTGGTTTTAATTTAGACTTTTTCCTCCCCGGAGAGGGGTGGGGGTACTTGAAATTTTCGGGGGCGGGTGTAGAATTTTCTGGGAGGGGGCGGACACTGGAAAAAGTATATAATTATATTTCGTTGAATGGGACGGTAGACATGTTTTTTTTTTTGGGTGGGGGGGGGGGGGGGGGTGGAGGGGTGGGGGGGGGGGGGGGCGGTGTGTGGGGGGTGGTGTGTGTGTTTTTTGGGGGGTGGGGGGTGGGGTGGGGGTGGTGTGTGGGGGTGGGGGGTGGTGTGTGGGGGGGTGGGTTGGTTTCAGTGTTTCTTTCAGACTTTTTCCTCCCCGGAGAGGGGTGGGGGTACTTGAAATTTTCGGGGGAGGGGGTAGAATTTTCTGGGAGGGGGCGGACACTGAAAAAAGTATATAATTATATTTTGTTGAATGGGACGGTAGACATGTTTTTTGGGGGGGGGGGGTGGTGTGTGGGGGTGGGGGGGTAGGGTGGGGGTGGTGTGTGGGGGGGTGGGTTGGTTTTAGTTTAGAGAAAAGAGACAGCACTATCAGCCTAGCGCCCGTTGTACCCTTCCTCAACGGGCCATTTTTCTCGTATATATATATATATATATATATATATATATATATATATATATATATATATATATATATATATATATATATATTTGTGTGTTTGCCACCCCTGGTCCACTTTACTTTACTCATTGATTGTAATAGCCCACCACTATTATTACTATTAAAACAAATGTAGTGCACACTGCTCATGAGGGAGAATGGGCGCTCCTGGTCACATGACTGCGGATTTGCCAAAGGTCGTCTCTGGTGCTGTTGACAGTCAATTCAAGTAGTAGTTGTCCTTCTGACTGTGCAGGACACCCAATCAACAGAGTTTTGCCAAGACGGATATTTGTTTATTTGATTCATGATTATTTTTATCTCGGGGTGGCAACCACACACTAACTTCTCTGGGGTGTTCTTAATAGCTTCCCGAATTTTCAAATATGCATAGATAGATTTCTAAAGAAATAAATTTCTGATATTTTACAAAAGCTTTATGGATAATATTAAATGTTAATCAACTATGTATACAATTTTCTTTGCAGTCTCTTCAATGCAGTACAACACAAGTTTGTCTGCTGCCAATAAGTTGGCACCTAGCAAAAGTACTGTATATGTATCAAATTTGCCATTTTCACTGACAAATAATGATCTGCATAAAATTTTTGAGAAATATGGCAAGGTTGTCAGGTATTTAAGATATGAAGAACTTTAAAAAAAATAACTATAGGTTAATAGTAAACAACACATTAATCTAAAGTTGCTTGTATTAATGATAATTAATCTTAATTTATGATGCTGAGTTCAGTTTAAAGTCATATAGCATGAGTATACTTACCTTATATCATACAAACCTATCAGTTAAACCATAATCATATATTATGAATACACAGAGCCACAGGTTTGTAAAAGCAAAATCTGTCTAGTTAATGAAATTATTGATTAAAAGTCATTGAATAAAATGTATGAAATTCCCTCTAATATAAAGTAACAGATGTCATATCCATTTTTCTGTTGCGCAGGGTAACAGTCATGAGAGATAAAAATACCAGGAAAAGCAAGGGAGTGGCCTTTGTTCTGTTTCTTGATAGAGATGGAGCCTACAATGCAGTGAGAGCATTACATAATACAAAGGTTTTAGTTTTTAACTTACAATACTGGAATAATTTACTTTCACAATTTGACCACCATAGCAATGAGAATAGGCTGCAAAAGTTTTCATAAAAATGTATAATACCTTAAGGTAATGTCAGCTCAACAAAAAAAGTAAAATATTAGATAATTATAATGATCTATGTTAATTATTGTAAGTTAGTGTAACATTTAACTCCAGTTCAAGGGGATATAACTGTTGAAGGTATCAGGTATGGCTCATTGTGCCTTAGGTTATTTTATTTTAAATTTCAGATGTTTGATCGAACAATATCTTGCAGTATAGCAAAAGACAATGGAAGAGCCCCAGAATTTATTAGACGCAGAGAGTATGTTGACAAATCCAGATGTTATGAATGTGGAGTAAGTTTTAAGTGTTTATTTACAGCTATTTGTTTGGAAAGAGAGGATTTACATTTCCTATTCAAATTGTTCAAATCTTCTCTGTGGTAAAAATCCATTTTAAATATTTTCTTCATTTTGACCTATGTCAAAGTTTTAACCCTTTATTTACGGAATTATGTTCTGAATGAAATTTTTACTTAAACAGTGTGTTACTATATTGCTTTTGGCACATTCAAAGCATATGTCGAAGGAAATTTCGTTTCATAAATTTTTAATGGCCCAAACGTATATTGGTACTTATAAGTACCGTCAGGAATGTAGGACATTTTTTGTCAAAAATTTTTTTTTACAAAACAGGAACAAACGATACAATTTATTAACTAATAACATGGCAATCATTATAGCAATCACTTTTTGTAATTTTCACACATAAATACAGCACAAAAGTATGTTTTGAGTATGATTTTTACTGGATTTTCCATCAGAACACATCTTAGACCTCAAACACAGCAAAAGTTGCCGACATATCATGCTCCCTAAATCTTGTCTGTGGTCTTTCTGGTGTAGCAACGGTTGCCGGAATGAACATGCTTTTGCTGGAAGCTTCCAATAGCTAGTACAATGAGCCGCATTAACAAACAAAAGCCTAGTCATTCAGCACGCAACTACTAGTAATACTAGTATAATTGTAGCCTACTAGAATGTTTTGACAAGTCTACACTACAGTGCAAAGTTCATAAATAGAAGTGAGCTCAATGTGTTTAGGATAGCCGTAGTGGCCCACTCTTGTCTTTTTACTAATTAAAATTTACCTTATAAATCTATACTATATGCAGAAGTATGGACTATTACTAGGTTACAGGTATACATTACGTAAATGCTAGTTGTTGTAGGCAAGAGAGTTTATTGCAGTAAATATAACTAACAATTTAAATCTTACAACTAGAACTAGGCTTTGGTATACAAATGAAGCATACTAAACCTTGTAAACGAGCCTGCAACTGATACCTTTATTCTTGTTATTTTTTACTACTAGAAATTAACATGTAATTACTTTGTTTCTTAGGTAAACCATATGCTAACCTTCTTATAAATGTGTAAATATCATGTTTTGAGTACATTTCGATAATTAATTATCAGGACAATATTTATGTAACTCCACATAAAAAATCTGCGATTTTCTAAAAATCCTAAAAAATGACCGTGTGCCCTGACGGTACTTATAAGTCCACTTGTATACATCGATCTAATACAAAGACAATTTGAGTAAAATTGTATAACTAGAAGTTAAACGCGTTTGCTTGACTATTGAAGGTGCCAATAAAAAATATTTGGGGTTGAAAACTTGAAAAATAAGGTAAAACAAAGGGAAATCAAGAACGTGTGTGAGAAATGTACAGAAAAATTGTGAACTACCGATATAGCAAGACATTGAAAATGGCGCCACACCAGTAATTTTCAAAAATCATTGATACCTCCGACTACCGGCGACTCAGGGGAGATAATACTATTAATTACTTCAATAAGTTTTAAAATTCGTATTAAATTAAAAATAATACAGGCACTTAATTAAAGTGGTACTTATAAGTACCGTCAGTAGATAAAGGGTTAAGTAAGACAAATTCTGTTTTAATAGTTTTGATAATCTGTAAAATTTCCTAAGTTTTGCAAACAGTTCAGATTAAAAACCTCAAGCTTTTAAAAGACAGAATTGTACTACAAGATTTAAATTTGTGTATTCAGGAAGAAGGGCACCTCAGCTACAAATGTCCCAAAAATTTACTAGGTGAAAGAGAGCCTCCACCGAAGAAAAAGAAGAAAAGAAAGCATGATGATGAAGATTGGTAATATTTTTAATTTACTCAACTCTATACTGTCCTTTTTAAATGTGTTACAGTAATATTCACCTAAACTATGCATAGTAAATTCATTTTCAATTTAGTAAATGAAGTCTCGCTGGTAATGAGGCTTTGAAGATACAGAGGGAATCCGGGAATAATATTTTATTGACATTTCAGACATGTTTCTTGTGGTTTTACCTTTATGGGTAAATGTCTATGATTTAAAGTAAAGAATGTTTTACCTTAAAAGGCAGTTTATTTAATTTTAATTGCTGATAAGATCAGAATTCACTTAAAAAATAAGTTAAAAAATAGTATTGAAAGAGGTGTTTTTATTTATTTTTACATTTGTCTGAGTATATTTTCATGAATTTTTTAAATAAAATTAAGCCATTTAAAGACTATTTCCTGTACAATGCTTTTTTAATATGTGGATATGAGTCATGGTTGAAGATGCAACAATGTTTAGTATATTTTTTTTCTCTTTATGCAGTATATTGTTATAATTAGTTAATTTTATGATAGCCTATATAAGTTTACATTATATTATTTAAATGTTGCAACAGTGAAGAAGATCATAACAGTGAGAGTGATGACAATGAAAACAGTGCAGCTATGGAGGAATCTCTGGCATTGGCTATAAAATACCAGGTCTTTATACTTGTGTGATGTTCAATAGCCACCAGCAATAAGCTCTCAAGTGGTCTACATGCTAACAATAAAACTTTACAATCTCTTTAACTCGTTATCTAGCAAGGAGAGTAATTAATTAAGCTACACAGATTACAAATGTAACTTTAATAAACATCTTTTTCTGGGTAGTAAATTGAAATATGATATTAATAGTTATCAGGCTTATATAGAGTGATTAGTTTTTTAACCTAATGATTTATCAATTGATGTTTTCTCTTGTTTCAGCAAGCTATGATGGCACAAGAGACAACTTTTGATCATTCAGACAACATTGAATCTACAACAAAGAGAAAAAGATACAAAAAAGATGCTTATTTTAGTGATGAAGAAGAGTTGGATGATTAATCCAATAGAATAGGCATAGACACTTCTTCAAAATTTAGATTGTCTTACAGAGGAATTATAAGTCCAGCAGTGTAAAGTTATGAATGAATGTAACTTTTGCTACCACAAGTTTCATGAATTTGACAATTTTGACTCTTAGCTGATGTAAATATTTTTTAAGAGGAAAACCTGGCCTTTCTCCTCAGATATCTGACTGTACAAATGTATATATGCCTTATACTTGTAATAAACTTTTTAACTTCTAACAATGTATTTATTTCAAAATCTTAAAATTTTTAATCAAATGAAGACAACATCACTCATGCAGTCAGTTTGCCACTAATGTAACAAAAAAATATAAAGAGAATAAAAGAAAGACTGCTTAACATGTTCCAACCTTTAATTTTAAGGTGTACACATCACTTAAAACTAAAAATAAACTGTCAATGGGTCAACAACTTAAAAAAAACAATCATTTTTTTCAAACTAAACATGATTAGCAAAAAACATTTGGTTTCTGACTTAAATATCCTTTTTTTACCATGCACATATCTAAATGGAAATTATATGAAATATATTCACTGCAATGTTTTTCAACACAAGAAATTTGTGATGGCCAAACACAATTCTCCAATTATTGATAGCTTTTTTAAAAAAAGTTCTTAATTACCCATGGTTAAGTACTATGCTGAAAAATAATTTAAACAAGAAACACTGAGTGCAAATTTAGCCTCCTGAAAAGAAGGTCATGATAATTTTAAAAAAGCTTGACTGATTTACAAAAAGATTATTTTTATAGTCTTCCCATTTTTTGGCTAAAGCACAAAACCAGAAACACCAATGTAGTGGCTAAAAAAATATTTTTGAAGTATTTAGCACAATAGCACATTCAAATTAAAAGGCATAATTCTGACTAGTCTGAAAATAGTAAACTTACACAACTCAGAAAATAAGGCACAAGAACAACAGTAAATAACTTGAAAAACTAAGATCACATAACTAAAATTATTTACACTTATCACCATCATAATGTCCATCACAGCTTGCATTTCCTTCATGGAACTAAATTTTCTGTATCTTTACCTTCAGCCTCTGGTAGAAATGAAACTGGCACCTCCACACCACTGCAGCAGTTTACATCTGGTGTTGTGACATGGTCTCCATGACTTTCATTTTTATTAGGGCTAGGGATGAGAGTTGGTTCCACCTGGTCTTCCACAGTGGTAGAAGAATTTGAATCCTCATTCCACCTTCCCCACAAAGGTGCCATGGCCGCAGTTGTGCGAGTCAGAAGAAATACAAAACCAGACAATCCTCCTATATTAATGCTAAGAACAAGTCGACGCTGCCAGTATTTTCCTACCAGTTGTATTGCCTGTAAAATATGACACATAAATGTGGAGAGATAATTATATGATATCTATTTCAACATGTTCATTTATAGAGCTTAAAATATCTGTTAGGCAAAGTAAGTAATTACCCTAATGAGATTAGCTTTATCTTCAGTCAGCAGACAAGCTCTTGCTCCATTGTTTGCAGTTCTGGCCATTTCATTCAACAAACATGGGTACAGAGAGCGATTTATGCTTCTGCTGCCTAGTCTGAAAAGGAAATAAGTTAGTGATCACAGAGGATGTCAGTCATAGCTCTTATACAGAGATGATTAAGGTTAAATTGGTTTTTAAAATAGTGAATGTAATTTACAGTTTATGATATACCTGTGATGTAGAGAAGAAGTGACTAACTTACCTATGGCCAAATGGCTGAAATACGAAGAAAAATATAAATAAACACAAAGTTTTTGTACTATTTTAAATAAAGTAAAGCAATAATAATTTAAAAAGTAGATCTAGTCATTTTTGGTCAAAATGTATAGCACTAACCAGATCAGAAATAAAGACATCAACACAACGATCCCTCAAAGGAAAGTGTTCTATGTTCCATTGAACAGCATCGAGTTTTAAGGTGGATCTGAAATAAAAATGAGTTGTTTTAGAAACAAAATAAACATTACTTAAAGAATATTTCTACTGTATACCATAAAACACACCTTAGGTAAACCATATACCTATATATACATTAAAGAGACAAATTTATTTAAATATGAAATTTAAGCTTACTTTTTATCTATCATAGTCTTTTCTTGAATAGCTGCAATATTTTCTACAGTTCTTGCAATAGCTTTATCGTGACAGTCCCCACCAATGTGAAAACAATTTTGCCAGTTGACAGCACCTTCTATAGGAATGGCTCCGGTACCACACATAGGATCGCAAATAAAATCTCCATTTTTTATGTGACAAAGTCTATAAATAAAGAATGTTGATTTTAAAGGATTGTATCACATGTTCAACAAGATAAATAGTGTAGAGGACAACCAACCTCAGCATGTTGTAGCAAATAGTTGCTCTCAATGTGGTGGGTCCAAAAGCCACCAGATTTCGCATGTGTAGACTGTTCTTTGTTAGTGCCAGGGACACAGTAACTTGTTCATTATCAATGTTAAGAATAACCTATAAATGCAATTTTAAGCTGATAGAAGTTACTTTGATATCTTACTTATTATTGAAATTTTTAAAAATTAAAATAAATTCTTCTCCTTTATGTAGTAAATACAGTATTTATTTAATATAAATGGTAATGATAATATATCCATTAATTTCTTTAAAGTCAACTTAAAACTTATCTGTCAATAAACAGCAGAGCTCACCTCAATATCAAAATTTTTAAGATCCACTGCCCACTTATGGTAAGTTATAATTGCACTGCCAAAGCTAGCAGCTGCAGATGGTGAATCAAATGGATGATAATCTCCTACTCTATTGCAGGTTACACGAAATGTTGGCTTGGTTGGATCTCGTTCCTTCTTTGCTTCTACTAAAGTTGTGGCTTCATTCACAGCAACACCTAGTCCTTGTGATGGTGACACTGCAGATATGAGATTTTGCTCCATAGATTCAACAAGTCCTTGTGAAGGTGACACTGTAGACTCAACTGGTTCTTGATGTGTCATCGTTGTTTCTGTCAAGGCATCGTCACTTAACTTCTTTGTGGAGATATCACTAAAGGAAACAGGATCTACACTGCTACCTTCATTTTGTACTAAATTTTCAAAGTTAAAGTCTCCACCCTCATCTTCTGCAGGTGGGGTATCAGAAAAAGGACTGACAAAATTTCTTATTGGAGTGGGTGGTGGGGTGCTTGTATTTTTTGGTGACATATTGTGCACAGCATTGAAATCCCGGGCTGGACTACTTGGTGGGGATTTAAGTTTTTCAATAACACTAGAGGCAAATTCATTTTCCTTAAGACTTGAACAACTTCCTTTGGTGGTTTTCTCAATTTCATCACTTAAATCTTTTATTTCTATTTCATCTTTTTCATTATCAACTTTAACCAAATCTGATTCCCTGTTTGATAAGTCCTCACTAATTTGCAACGAGGAGGTTAGATCTATTGTTTCAATTTCATCTTTCTTATTATCAACTTTAACCAAATCTGATTCCCTGTTTGATAAGTCCTCACTAATTTGCAATGTGGGGGTTAAATCTAATGTTTCAATTTCATCTTTCTTATTATCAACTTTAACCAAATCTGATTCCTTGTTTGATAAGTCCTCATTAGTTTGCAGTGTGGAGGTTACACTAGCATTAAGAAGAGACATATCAACTTCCATTGGTTCAACATCCCTTTGGTCCCCTTCTTCTAATTTTTTGGGGAAAGCATCTTCCTCTGGGTTAGGCAGCAAAACTTTGATGTCAATTTTTATATTTTCACTATCCTCACGTCGCTTTATAATAACTGTCTTTGGTGGAAGTTTGTAAGGGGAGATTTTCTTATTCTCACCTGCTACAACTTCATTACTTGTATCCTCTGTGTCTACACTGTCTAATTTCTCTACAATATCTGCCTCAGCCAAAGAGTATTCAGTAACTTTATCATCTTCATTTCTATGTGCATCTATAAGGTCTTGTGAATCAGTTAATTCATTTATTATTTGTTCTGTTTCTGCAACACAACTTGGATCAACACAATCTCCATGTTCTAATTTGGAAACATCTCCCTTTCCTCCGCCTTTTCCTTCTGATCTTCTCTTATCTTTCTTCTTCCCTTTTCCCCATTTCTTTTTCTTCTTTTCTTCTTTAGATTGAGCTTTGGGTAATTTCTCTTTGTTAATAACAACAACATCAACAAGTTCTTCTGGGGAAGGAATAACTTCAGGCTTAGAAGGAATAGGGTGTGGAAAATCATTAAACTTTCTCCAAACTTTAAGTCCAGATTCCCAATCAACATCTGCAACCATTTGCTGCAGTCTAGAAAGACTGTCATGCTGTAAGAATGCATAAAAATCAAGTTTTAAAAAATAGTAAATTAAATATAGCCTATGCAAAAACTAATCAATAGAATTTATTTTCATTTTAGGGTTATGGTATGAGATTAAAAATTAAAGCAATGATAAAGATACAGATAGAGTGCAGTATAATAATATACTGTGGTAACAGTTCTACAAGGGGTATAAAATATAAAGAGGTAGGCCATTCAATTAAGTATAAAATAGAACAAGGTACCTGATCAGTAAATCGAAAATGTGATATACTGTGCATAACAACCTTGAAGTTGTCTATCGATCCCATTTTAAAAACCTAAGATATTGAAAAACAAATTTAACAAACATGTTTAATACAATGTGTGTGGTGTATTGTAAGTAAGTCTCTTAAGACAATAAGTATAGAGTGATTGGTAGGTAGATCTCTAAGCCGTTATTTTTTTAACTTAAAAGGTTAAAAATATTTTGAAATATAAAGTATAGAATCACTAATTCTAGGCTGGGGGTCTGAGACGTAGCTGGGGGGGGGGGGGGGGGGGGGGCTCTTTTTTAGCGAACAAAAATCGCAAAGTATTAGTACTGGATTGGTGAGTAGATAACTCTTTTAACACTTAGAAAAGAAACCTATTGTATTAACTGGCAATGTACAATTTCACTAGCCACTTTTGTTAAGAAATGATGCGACTAGTTCTTTGTAAGATTCTACGATTCTCTTAACTTCAACGTTAGAGATCAGATATTTTTACTTGATTGCATTACATCTTGCCTGGATCAATGTATTAAAGAGAAATAAATATCACGGATTTTTTAATCGCTATCTGATCAGTAAAATAGCAGACGGTTAGAGGGGGTGGGCGGAAGACGATACTCTCACCGAAATTTTAAGAGCTAAAAACTTAAGTATATTGTACTGAATAGGTCATTTTTTTATTGCTTATTTCATAACAAGTCCTAATACTGGAATTTTCATACAGTTAAGGCCACTAGACCTACTAAACAATGTAAAAAATGGTACAACACGACAACAGGTGATGCTTTGTTACTTCGTTCAACCTAACTGATAATTTAAAACTATAATACACTATTATCAAAATTGTTCTAAAGGCACAACTAAAAGTAGACCAAATAAACTTATACCTTATACAAACTACACTCTAAAGCAGTGGTTCTTAATCTTTTTGGAGGTACCGAACCCTACCAATTTCATATGCGCCTTCATTGAATCCTTCTTAATAGCTTTAGCGTCAACATTGACAAAATCTTATCGTGAATCATATGTCGAGTGTGTGTCTTGACCTCTGCCGAAGCTCTGAGACTTACATAGCGAACACTTTGGTTCGATCGAACCCAAGTTTAGAACCACTGTTCTAAGCTCTTTTGATTTTCTTTTTTTTTTGGTTTTCTAAGAAGCATATGCATAGGCAACAGTCGCTTGATTTTTATGAAGATAGAACCCTAATAATCTAACCTCCCCCTTCTCTAGTTCTTCAGGCATTTTTTTGTCTCCTTCTCTTCCTCTTTCGCCGCGGGTTTACACCAGCACCTGCTTGGTGATGTTATTTACTGATATTGTGCCCTAACCACCACTTTTCCCCTGCTCTTATTTCATTCTTCACTGTCTGTAATCTAGCTCCGAGCCATACAGTACAGTAAAAGAGACTTCGCAGTTAGCTATAGATCCTGAATTAATTTTTTTGACAATGTATTTGAATTCTACATTGTCTTAGAGTATAAAACCTGTTTTATTGCTGCTGATTTTAATCAGGAAGTCATGGGCGGTGCCACTATCATTAAACTGGTTATTACTGCTTCTTCAACCTGTACAATTTGTTCTGCATTGTTGTTGACTGTGGATGAGAAGGCAGCGCACATCTGCAAAATCCAAGACTTCGAGCTGTTAAAATCTGTTGGAGTCCAGTTTGTTTCCTCTAGCTTGTTTTGTTATACCAACAACCAGACAACGAAATATCCGGACTGTCGCACACACGCTTACACACACACACACAAACACTTATACACACATGCTTACACACACACGCACGATTATACATACACATTAGGCCCCCTATATGTATTTATATAGGGGGTCCTAAACTGAGTAAACTCAAACTCATGAAACTGCAATACCTAAGCCGAAAGTAAACTAAAGTACTAAGTACCTAAAGTAGGCTAATAAATTTGAATAAAATATTATATGGCAGTCTAACGTAATATGACAAATCGTGACATTCATTCAAAATAAAAATGTTAGATCAAGTCTAGGCCTAGATCTATTCTAGTTAGATAGATCTAGATCAGAGATCTAGATCTAGATTCTAATTCTGATTTTCACATTTTTATTCTTTTTTCCCTACATCTTTCACTTTGTCCAACGGAATTTTCCAGGTTATTGATCCTCTTGATGCCCTAACATCGGCACCAAACTTTTCTTTCGCTTCACCACGGGCTGATTCTTCGAACCCTGTAACAACCGATGCCTCAATTGTACACCATTCTTCATCTTCAAGAGCCGCCGGCTTCTCATCTTTATTATTAGTCGACGCCATGCCATGCAAATAGCGCTAATCTAGTCTAGATTGTTTATTTTGTAACTTTGTATTGCACTTTTTTACAGGAATTCTAAGCGAAAACAAAACATTAATATAGCTTTATAGTCGTCTAGATAGGCCAAATAAAAAACAATTGTCTTTATAGCACACCGTTAGCCTACCGTTATTTAATTTCTTTAATAGGCTTATTATGATGAATTAAAATATTAAGTGACAAACCATAATAGTCTAATATTTATTATATCAATAATAGTCAGTACACACATCTACATAACTTTACGTTCATAATTTTTTTTAAAGAAAACCACTTATTAATATTGATATACAAATAATATTGTAGACTAGATCTTTATGCTATATGTAGATATAAATCTTTATAGCAATATTTATTATATCTAGACTATATTTTTGTGTAAGGGGATATTCAAAATGAAATAACACTCTCTGTTTCTTCCACACTTTTTTCTTCGGCGGACTAAAATTTCCGGGGGGGGGGGGTCACTTATAAAAGTATATATTTTTGTATATAAATTCTATTTCGTTCGTGGGAGTGGGGGAGTAGACTTTCTTGGAAGAAGCTCTGTCTGGGGCAGGGGGTTAATAATTATTATATGGGGTGGGGGGAAAGTATGACGTCATACTTTGAATTTTGAATAGTATTGGTTAAACTAAGCTGAATTTTAACTGTTATTCCACATTTCGTAGATTCTATTTTTTTTAAATTGTTATAAAATCGCCACACTAACCTAATCTTGACAAAACTCATTTAATTTTTGTTTAAAGTATGTCGAATTATCTCATTTGGAGGGTGGGGTTTCGGACTTTTTGTGATGATTGGAAGGGGTTGGTGAGTAAAAAAATCGAAAAAGAAAAAGTGAAGCTCTAAAAACCTAATTACTAATATTTTTCTAGTCTTATTTTAAATAACAGACTTGTAAAATGGTAGCTTATATTTTAAAATATTATTTAACTTGATAATGTGAGCATTTTTTAGTTAAATCTTCAAAATTTATTTCATACAAATAATCTTTATCAGTGACTACAGGAAATTACACATTCTTTTAATTAAAATGCATGTAGGCTGCCCCTTAAACATTAAAAATGTGACTATAAAACGCCATAAAACCTGGCCAGTTTTGGCAAAATTTATTTTATTCAGCTAAGAAGTACATGGTTGTAATAAATCATTATGTGTGTTTACAAGCAATAGTACTGTTGTAGTGAATGGAGAAGTATAGCAGACCAAACATGGATCTACGCTTTCGTTAATTAATCTACTAGACAACCAAATAATTAGAAATGTACTAGACAGTTTTGTTCGAAATGAATTTGGTTACCAGATCTTGTGTAAACACTTCGTAAATATTTTTCCGATTAAAATTAATTTAATTTTAAACATTGTGTCACAGTGATGAGTGTGACCGTGTGCGGTGTTGCAGTGTTGTAGTGTTTGTCAGTCAACAATTGACTCAATGTACTGAATCTGAATGTAGTGTAGGAATCTAGGGTGTATACTACTCTGTCTTAATATACTTAAATCAAGTAGAGTGATAGAAAAAACGAAATGTAAATATGTGTAGTGAGTAGTGTTGCAGCTCCATGAGAGCCATTGGCATTAAGATTAATTAAGAACTTGTAGGTTCTTAGGTTGCAGCTCACATTTGTTATTTAATGGTTGGGAGACTGAGGAGCGTTGAATCGCCATTCCTTAGCTCAATCACTAATCAGGCTTAGTGAAGTGGTTTGATATGATGAAGGGAGCGATCTAGAAATTCTAGTTAGATCTAGTAGTTAGAAATCTCAATCTGGCTTGGGTTTAGTCAGTTCTACTGGCTGCTATTTTAAATTTATAAGCTTTCTGATTTACTCTATTACTACAATACTAGATGTAAATGTACTAAATTTTCTATATAATTACATGTTGAGATTGATTACAACTTTACAATATTTTAAACAAAATGTGGTTGGTAGTGATTAAGTATATCTAGTCGTAAATTCAAATAGTAAGATTAGATGAATGTATAATGCCATTTTTACTGAATAAATAAATTTGTTGTATTAATATTGTACGACTCATAATACTACAAACTAATATTACATATAGAAGCCTTCTATTAGGCTTGTTTATTAATACAGATAAGTGTTACTTTGATCAGACTATTCCTAACTAAACTATTAGCTTTTATAATGCAATAGATTTAGAATGAGCCTATAATTTAGCATAGGCATATGAATGTAGGATTTTGGCCATTCAGCCATTATATTATATATTCAATAGAATAAGCCTGATAGTTGATAAAATTCTAAGCTCCCTGCTATTTATTTACTAGCCTAGGTATTATTTGCTACCATTGAGATGTGCTAAATTTGTGTGTTGAAGTCAGTATTAGTCTTTATAAAACAATGGCATAAACCACAAGTGGATTACAAAAGAATTTAAATATAAACATGTTAAGATTACATTGGCAGCGATTCTCATTTAGAAAAGTGGCATATTCTGTTCTTGGAATTTACCTGCTAATAACATGCTATACTGGTTTTCATTTGTTAAACCGAAAACTGCAAAGTGATATGAAGGAAAGGTTGATTCAAGAAAGGATAAAAAGCTTGTCAGGTAATAACAACTAATTGTATCCTAGTTCTCTGTTTTAAAATTATGCTGCACCTCTCTGTTTTTAATGCCAGTCAAAATTTATGTTAAAAGTTATTTTTAGATACTTCACACCATCTTTGTAATGTTAAAATGTTTGTGCTGTGTAGTGTATGTTCTATAGCCTACCTTATGTTTGATTTTTCAGACTTTTTTATACCAACATTTAGTGTTCCTTTGTCTCGGTTTTTTTTACACCTTTAAATAGGTATATAGGTAATATCAGCAGTAGCTTTGTATTTCTATTAACATCAGTTTATAAATCAAGCTTCAAGCAATTTTCAGATAGTTTTTCTTATTGGTTTTTTTCTAAATTATATCCTACAGACACTTAAATAACATTGTTTTTAGCTAGATCTTTGATGCATTATTTATACTTTAGCTACTAAAGTTACACAGTCACAAAAGATTAGTTTTTTTGCATTGGTACATATGGGAGGGATGGACGACAAGATGTAATTAATTCTAGGCTGAAGGTGTGGTTTAAACAGGGGATATAAAGTGTTGTAAGGATAATGTATCTTGGTCTCCATTGGGGGATTAACAGTGTTAACACCTTGTTGTATTTGTTTCACTGTAGTGTTATTTAACTTGATGTGTTGTCTCCCCTATATGTTATTTAACTTGATGTGTTGTCTCCCCTATTTATTATTTAACTTGATTTGTTGTCTCCCCTATGTGTTACTTAACTTAATGTGTTGTCTCCCCTATGTGTTATTTACCTTGATGTGTTGTCTCCCCTATCAGGTTGATCTGTTACTTCACCATTAATTATTTAGATTCTACAAGCATGTTTAACCCTATACAATCTACTCAGCATTGCACGTGTAAATATTTGATCAATAAGTCACACTAATACACTACCCAGTCCTTTGTTTAAGGAAGATGCTGTATCAGATAGTCATGGTCTCATGAGCAGGGTTTTAAAATTAAATGCTACTGTCAAGACGAGCCTAAAGTTGGGACAATACCAAAAAACAACTTTATTCAGGCGTTTATGATGGGTTTTTAAATCGTTGAGTGTCGTTGATAAAAAAAAAACGGGACATAAAAACAGGTTGTAAATCTGTTTCTCTAGTAGATCTAGTCTAGAATGTGACTTCAAATCTGGCAATAAATTCTTGTTTTATTTCTCCGCGTGACGTCAGCTTACACCTTACGTCTGGTGGGGATCACCTTTCAACAGATGAAATGTAGATTGTGTCATGTGTCAGACAATGGGTAGATTTTTTTTTTCACGGCAGGGATAGATTTATTCTCAAATGGAAAGATTTCTCTTGACCCGAATAAGATTTCAGAATTAATATTTAGGGGGTCTCATTTTCTGATATCCCGCCAAGTGGTCTGAGCAACGTATTCTTGAGTCTTGAGTATCGATTTAAACCATATATGCTACCCGGCTGGTACAGTTGTTTTTTTGTTTTTTTTAAATTTAAATAGGTTTGTTAAACATGATAAAAAAACAGATCAAAACCTAACTATTCAACCAGCCACCAACCCTATACAAAGCGCAGAATAGGACCGTGACCGACCATCTGTCTTATACATTTTTTTCTTTAGCCTTTTTTTATCGGTGTGTATTTTTTTTAAACAAGATAATAACGCACTGCAACACAGGATTCACCTTCCCCTGTCCCCACAAGGGACATAACCAGACAATGCCTACAGTTGTTTTTTCCTGCTGCTTTTAAAACAGGTGGCACTAAAACAAGCTTTGTGTCGCCCCTGAGTCCGCGTGATGGCGCATATAGACACCGCAGCTGTACAGTACAGTTGTGTGCCCTTGGCTGAATGTTAATGGCTGGGGATATCAAACCACTGCTGGATCTCTAGCTGTGGTAATGGATAACCTCGGTAATGTTTGCTCAGCTCGCGGCCACAATAGCACCCCTAGGGTCGGGGGGTTATATCATCGCTGGCCTCGCTCGGTATAGTCGGGGACCCACCGAGGCTTGATGACGGTACTTGATTAGTTATTGTCGCGGTGGTGTCTCTTGTTTACCTCGGCGGCGGCTGTTCCCTGGGTGATCCGTGTCACTCGCTTTGTCCTCACCGACAACGTTATACTGGGCTACCACTCTATCTAGTCAGTGACGTCATCCACACCGTTTGTTGTGGGCTACCGGCAAGTGACGTCATCCACACCGTTTGTTGTGGGCTACCGGCTAGTGACGTCATCCACACCGTTTGTTGTGGGCTACCGGCTAGTAACGTCAGCCACACCGTTTGTTGTGGGCTACCGGCTAGTGACGTCATCCGCACCGTTTGTTGTGGGCTACCGGCTAGTGACGTCATCCACACCGCTTGTTGTGGGCTACCGGCTAGTGACGTCATCCACACCGCTTGTTGTGGGCTACCGGCTAGTAACGTCATCCACACCGTTTGTTGGGCTGCCGGCTAGTGACGTCATCCACACCGTTTGTTGGGCTACCGGCTAGTGACGTCATTCACACCGTTTGTTGGGCTACCGGCTAGTGACGTCATTCACACATAGTTTGTTGGGCTACCGGCTAGTGACGTCATTCACACATAGTTTGTTGGGCTACCGACCAGTGACGTCATCCACACTCTTTGTTGGGCTACCGGCTAGTGACGTCATCCACAGCGTTTGTTGGGCTACCGGCCAGTGACGTCATCCACACTGTTTGTTGGGCTACCGGCCAGTGACGTCATCCACACCGTTTGTTGGGCTACCGGCCAGTGACGTCATCCACACCGTTTGTTAGGTTTCCGGCTAGTGCTACACCGGGCTACCCCTAAATCTTCTTAGTGTCATCAACCCATATAAGTGGGTATACAGTACATATGGAGGGCCACTTTTGTGAAGTTGGACGGTGTTCCCTAGCGTTAGAGAGCTAGACTGCTAACCCGAAAGTCTCGAGTTTCAAATCCGGTTTCAAATCAGTAGAATGTCCCTTCTGTGTACCTAACTCAAGCTAATGAAATCAAAGGCTGACCACAAAATCCCTTCATATGTATTTATCATCTCTGAAAGAGATTAACTCTACTTCATCTGCCCCGCATGGTCACGAAGGGGAAATGACATTTGTGTAGCAAACCTTCCCTCTAACACTGTCAGTCATGGTGACCTGGCAACGCCCATGCACACATGTCTGATTGATGTACGATGTTATCTTCTGTCAGTTTCTATCCCCCCATCCTCACAACATTATGCTAATGCAAGAAATTAAGTTGACGTTAATCCCCCTCTATTGATTTTTATTTCAATAAATGGAATGTTTTTTTAAACTGATTCTTGAAGTTTTAATAAGCCAGTGTAACATGTTTGGAACCGTTTTGTCAGGAATGTTAAAATGTATAGGCGATCTGCTTAGAATGTTCCAGATGGCTACTATGCAATGTTTGTAGTCGTGTACAACAGTGGGAGTCACATCGACTTTATCTGGCAAAAAAGAGGCGTCATAACGGTTTAAAACCGCCATCATCACCACCTTCATAAGCTCATACAACATCACCACCTTTATAAGCTCATACAACATCACCACCTTTATAAGCTCATACAACATCACCATCTTTATAAGCTCATACAACAACACCACCTTTATAAGCTCATACAACATCACCACCTTTATAAGCTCATACAACATCACCACCTTTATAAGCTCATACAACACCACCTTCATAAGCTCATACAACATCACCACCTTTATAAGCTCAGACAACAACACCACCTTTATAAGCTCATACAACATCACCACCTTTATAAGCTCATACAACATCACCACCTTTATAAGCTCATACAACATCACCACCTTTATAAGCTCATACAACATCACCACCTTTATAAGCTCATACAACATCACCACCTTTATAAGCTCAGACAACATCACCACCTTTATAAGCTCATACAACATCACCACCTTTATAAGCTCATACAACATCACCACCTTTATAAGCTCATACAACACCACCTTTATAAGCTCATACAACATCACCACCTTTATAAGCTCATACAACACCACCTTTATAAGCTCATACAACATCACCTATATAAGCTCATACAACATCACCACCTTTATAAGCTCAGACAACAACACCACCTTTATAAGCTCATACAACATCACCACCTTTATAAGCTCATACAACATCACCACCTTTATAAGCTCATACAACATCACCACCTTTATAAGCTCATACAACACCACCTTCATAAGCTCATACAACATCACCACCTTTATAAGCTCATACAACATCACCACCTTTATAACCTCATACAACATCACCACCTTTATAAGCTCATACAACATCACCACCTTTATAACCTCATACAACATCACCACCTTTATAAGCTCATACAACATCACCACCTTTATAACCTCATACAACATCACCACCTTTATAAGCTCATACAACATCACCACCTTTATAACCTCATACAACATCACCACCTTTATAAGCTCATACAACATCACCACCTTTATAACCTCATACAACATCACCACCTTTATAAGCTCATACAACACCACCTTTATAAGCTCATACAACATCACCTATATAAGCTCATACAACATCACCACCTTTATAAGCTCAGACAACAACACCACCTTTATAAGCTCATACAACATCACCACCTTTATTAGCTCATACAACATCACCACCTTTTTAAGCTCATACAACATCACCACCTTTATAAGCTCATACAACATCACCACCTTTATAAGCTCATACAACATCACCACCTTTATAAGCTCATACAACACCACCTTCATAAGCTCATACAACATCACCACCTTTATAAGCTCATACAACATCACCACCTTTATAACCTCATACAACATCACCACCTTTATAAGCTCATACAACATCACCACCTTTATAACCTCATACAACATCACCACCTTCATAACCTCATACAACATCACCACCTTTATAAGCTCACACAACATCACCACCTTTATAAGCTCATACCATATCACCACCTGTGTAAACTCTTTCATGTTACT